GAATTAAATTACGAAATAATCGACGAACGCGTTGTGTACATACGTGTGCTATTTTCGTTCCTCGCGCAAATCGAGAGGAATAAAATTTTATGCGCGGTAATAGCTGTCACTATCACGCCGCGGCTTGAACCAACCGCCATTATTTAACATATTGTATATTTTTGTGTCACTTTTTATGGGGCTTATGCTCGCGCGCGCGCGCGCCAAAATCCGCTGACGTACTGGTGCCGCCGCCACTATACGTGAAATATTTTATTTCTCACACATATTTATATTTATAACCATCATTCTTACCTTGGCGGTAGTTTTCTGACAGGAAAACTCCCCGGGGCTCTTCGCGTCGTCGTCGTCGTCGTCTTCTTCGTCTTCTTCTTCGTGTGCACGCGCGCGAGCGCCGCAAGCAAGCAAGCCTCGCTCTTCTCCCCCTCCGCTGCCGCCGAAAACTTGAGGGACAGATCCTTGCGGTGCATGTCAACCTCTTCTATCTTACTCTCTCTCTAGCTCTCAATCCCCGTAAATCGTGCTCACGCATATTATACAGATGCACTTGCTTTATGAAGCTTTATACACGCGGGCGGAGGCACAGGCTGCCGCCGCGATAATAGCAAAATTCTCGAGCGAGGCTTGAATATTTTTCCTATGCGAGTGAAAAAGGAGAGGGTTTTTGAGGAGCGTACGTATAAGGGTATACGGAAAGCTGGATAAATGAAAGTGAATGAAGATTTATGCGGGGAGGGTTATACGCGGCAGTCGAATGTATATCCCGCGATAAGTTTTCTCGAGTTCTTTGCGGGCGAGTTTTGTGATTGTTTTTATTGAATTTCATCGACCTATCGGCTTCTATTTTGATAATTTTCGCGAAACGATATCTCTTTTGGTTCGATCAAGAGCCTTTTGTGGATGATAAAATGATTTTACGATTGAAGCGAAGTAATCCTTATTCGATACTCTATTAATTTTTTTAACAAATTTAATAAAAAAATTAACAATAACATTTCAATTTTCGGTATTAATTATATCCAGCAACACCTCTTAGCTTTCACAATGTATGGGCAGTGTTTTTCTTGGCACTTTGTCCCTGATTAAAAAATGCAGTATGCACAGATGCTCTTTGTGCAGGTTGTTTGTGAATAAAAAAAAAATCAAAGAACGTGTCTACCCATTAATTAACTTGAAAATTCAAAATAACGATCGAGTACTGTTTTTTTTTTTTAATTTGACCTCTTTTTCCTTTGTTTTTTTTCAAAGCCATTTTTCATCAATATTTACTTTAAAATTTATTTCATTCTTATATATAAAAAGCAACTAATGAAAATTACAGAACTATAATAGCCGTGAAAAATAGAACCATCAGAGTCGAAAGTTAGATTCTGATTCGCCTACATAGCCCTCGTTGCACGAGAGCTTGCAAGCTCTCGTGTGTGTGTATGTATGTACGTATGTACGTCTGTGTATGGTCGGCCACGGCAAAAAAATATTCCCAGCACGTGCTAAGCTCTCGAAGCTCTCCCGCGCGCGGGCGCTCGTCGCTGATACACACATTCACTTAGCCATATTTGAGAAAGATAGCGAAGCGCCTAAAATAACAGTGCATCATCGATTCCGCTCACTTTTTATTCTTTCAATCTCACTTTTTCCTCTTCCCTCCCCCCCGAAACGGTTATATAGCCCCGAGCATTTCTCTATTTCTCTCTCTCGCGCGCGCTCGCTTGCTTTTACCATCATCCTTCTCTCTCGTCTTCCTTATATACACCTCTCCAGATCCGGACAAGTGACGTGAGAATCTTAACGCTCTCACATCTTTTTCGATGTTATCTCTCTCTCCCTCGCCTCTCCTTCGCCTTTTCCTGCCCTTTTTTTTCTATCTCTCTCTCTCTCTCCTTCCGCGCGTGTATACGTAGTCTGAGCAAAGTCCTGCGGGGACGCGCATCGCGTCCGGCATCCTAATTTCCTCGCTTTGAACACTCTGGCACGATTGCTCCTACCGTTACGTTCGCCAAACGAATTTCAAGATGAAGAAGTTCGTGTTACTCGAATTTTATCCATCGTTATACACTTATTCCGTAGATCTTTTTTTTCTTCTCTCTCTTTTTTTTTCAAGAACTTGCTGATTTATGCTGATTTCGGACGTTTTAAGAGCCTATCATGTAGATTATTCGTGATTCAATTAATGTTATTTTTTCAACTTTGAGAAAAAATGAGAAGTGAAAAACCGCTGCAAATAACTAGAGCTTTTGCTTGAACATGGGATTTATTTCTGTAATTGTCAGAGAATGCTAATAAAATAAAACATTTTTCTATTTCATAATGATCAATATTAAAACAAGATGTGAGCAACATTTAAAAAAACAAAAGAAAATGAATTTTTTACATGTACGGGAATCAGTCGAAGGAGTCAGCATGTGAAGTTTGTTACTAACAGGGAATAGACACTTAGTAGATAATTTTTATATTTTAGTTGATGTAAAGAAAGAAAAGGTTTTTAAAAATCACAGCATAATCAATAGAAGTTTAAAATATTTTATTGTTATGTTCAAAGTTTTTCGAGAAAATCTCACACTTTCAAGATTTGCTACAATCGTGTACTACTTTAATGTGAGTTCTGAGGTCACCCTTTTGAAAAAACGATTTTTGACATATCTCACACCCGAAGGATATGCTACGATTATGAACTAATTTTATGTGCCTATTGAGGCTACCTTTGTATGCAAATGATTTTTGACAAATCTTACATTCGATGGATTTGCTGCGATTGTGCACTACATCGATGTGAAGTTTAAGGACATCATTTCGTCCAAATGATTTGTGACAAATATCACATTCGAAGGGTTTGCTACGATCATGTACTCCCTTTATGTGATTTCTGAGGCTATCCTTGCGACCATATGATTTGTGACAAATATGACATTCAAAGGGTGTGCTGCGAATATGTACTACATTTATATGAGTTTTGAGGTTACCTTTTAGTCCAAATGATTTGTGACAAATATCACATTCGAAGGGTTTGCTCCCATCATGTACTGCATTTAAGTGAGATTTAAGGTAATCCTTGCGGCCAAATGATTTGTGGCAAATTACACACTCAAAGGGTTTGCTACGATCATGGACGGCATTTAGATGACCTTTAAGATGATTTTTGTATCCAAATGATTTATGACAAATCTCACACTCAAAAAGTTTACTGCGAATATGTACTCCCTTTATGTGATTTCTAAGGTTATCTTTTCGTCCAAATGCTTTGTGATAAATATCAGATTCGAAGGGTTCGCTCTGATTATGTACTGCATTTACGTGTTTCTTGAGGTCTCCTTTGTATCCAAATGCTTTGTGGCAAATATCACATTCAAAGGGTTTGCTCTGATTATGTACTGCATTTATATGAGTTTTGAGATTGCCTCTGAGTCCAAATGCTTTGTGACAAATATCACATTCAAAGGGTTTGCTTTTATCATGTATTGCCTCAATGTGATTTTTTAGTACATTCTGGTATCCAAATGATTTATGACAAATATCACATTCGAAAAGTTTTATACGACCATGTACTGCATTTATGTGAACTTTGATTTCACCCTTGTATTTAAATGATTTATGACAAATATCACACTCAAATGGTTTAATCCGATTGTGTACTCCATTAATGTGAGAATTGAGGACATTTTTGTATCCAAATGATTTATGACAAATCTCACATTCGAAGGGTTTATGTTGATTATGCACTGAATTTCGGTGTGCGATTAAGTTACTTCTGCGTGAAAAAAATTTGTTGCAATTATTGCATTCATATGGTGTATTGCCTTTTTGTGTCGTATTAATTTTTGTTCTTGAACTTGTTTTTCCTTCATAAGATCTTTTATATAAAAAATTTCGCTTATGAAATAACTTGGTTTGAGTTTTTTCCGACAATATTTCAACCTCTTCGGATTCGCCAAAATCATCGTTCAAGTAATTTGTCTGAATTTGGTTTTCTATCTTCCCAATGGTATGAAAACTTTGAAGCTCAGATTTGCAGTTTTTTGTCGATTCAGACTTCAGTTCCAATTCAAAATCTCTGCACTCAAAATCAATGGATATTTTTTCATTGGTCTGATTTTCGTTTTCTATTTTCACAACAGGTAGATAACTTTGATACTCTGTTTTGAAGACAGTTTGCAATGAAGGCTTCCGTTCACGTTTGAAATTTCTGCATTCAAAATCTATTTGCATATTCTTATCCATTTCTTCGTTCAACGCAATAGCCTCGTTTGTGTAATTTTCCTAAAATTGAAATTGTGCAACAGTTTTTGATTGTAAAAAACCGAAAATTATTCAAATTATTAGACTCACTGATGATTCATCGAATGTGAATGTTTTATTTTGTTTGGTTTCGCAAGAGTTCATCGAATTGCCAATGTCGTCGCCTTCATCCGGTTCTTTCTTTACTCTAAAAAAATACAGTTTTATGAAGTAATCCCTTAAAAGTAATTGTCATGACATGTAAAAAAAACATTCATACCTTATTTCGTCCTCTTCGTTCTCCATCGCTCGCTCGATGATGAGTTATTGCTGTGAATTTTCACTAAAAACACCGAGAAAATATTTGAGGTTAAACGGTACGAGTAGCCAACAGCACTGTATCTCGAATACACCAATTTGTAAACACTTGCTCACCGAGGAATTTCTCGCCAGTAACTGCGTACGCACGATTCGCAACGTTAGCGAGATGATTTCGCGACGATGATAGCTCCTTCGCAATACCTTCCCCCTCCACTGTCGACTGTAGGCAGGCAGGAATTGTACTACTCGAACGTCATTGAGACTACACCGAAAACGCCGTGAACATATGATTCGTATAAAAATTTCCCAAAAATAAAACTTGATTTTGCGAAACTTACCTTCTACCGTAATCATCGAGGAGATATATTCTAAAAAATTACTTTAACCATACAAAAATCGATATTTGATACCTTTTAACTTTCGTTGAGATCGAAAGAGAGAAACAATCAATTCTTTCCGCGTTGCAGGAAATCGCGGCGATCCTGATCAGCTTTCAGCGTCACGCGGAATGGCAGAGTCGCGAGGTGAAGGTGCGGCCGCGCAGCGGCTCGATGCTGCTCTACTCGCGAAAGAAGGTCCGCTATCGACGAGACGGCTACTGCTGGAAGAAGCGCAAGGACGGCAAAACTACCAGAGAAGATCACATGAAGCTCAAGGTAAGCGCGAGATCGTTTTGTCGCTGAATATACAAAGTATCCATAGATAGGTATAAGGGACTCCTGATGACTCATGTTGAGCGGAAGTGTCGTTTTAAATTATAAACTGGTCAAATCTATCATCGAGATCCGTCAAACCGACGCAAAAGACGCCTAGCGTCCGTTTTTGAAACTTTTCGCGATTTCTAAAACAAATCCATTTTCCGGCACGCACAATCAGGTCCAAGGCGTGGAGTGCATCTACGGCTGCTACGTGCACTCGGCCATTCTGCCCACCTTCCATCGTCGCTGCTACTGGCTGCTGCAGAATCCGGACGTGGTGCTGGTGCACTACCTCAACGTGCCGTATCCGGACGGCGACGCCAAACTGGCCGCGCTGCCGCCCTGTCTCGCGCTCCCCGCCGACAAGAAGGAGTGGACCCGGGACGAGCTCACCTGCCAGCTGAGGCCGATGTTTCTCAGCGGCGCGGACGACGTCGCCGGCACCGATGGAACCGGCGGTGCTACTAATAATAATACGCACGGCGGCCTGCAGCAACCCGGTGGCGGCGCGCATCATCCCGTGGACATGATCGTGTCGCAGCTGCTCGACCGGCAGAGAGCTTCCAATGCCGGTTCCAGCGCGGCCACCCAATTGGCGCCCAGAAGACTCACCCCGGACAATCAGGTTTGTTTTGTCGAATGATAATGCAATTATGGCAACAAAAATGCTTCTATCGTTTATTTAATTTACAAATGCTTCTACCGTATCGCGTTCAAATAATTATAGAAAATTCGTCTCGATAATATTAAAATAGACTGCGAGAGAAGCATTTGTAAATTGAAACAAAATTTCGATGAAAATTTTCGTTGTCATAATTTCGTTGCGAAACGTACGAATGATAACAAAAAAATATTTGGGCAGGTCTCGTCGACGACCGGCGGTCAGCACCCGAGCTCGTCCGCGACGACGCCCCGAGTCTACTCGAGGCACTCGCACTCCGCGGCGAATCAGCAGGCCGCCCCCCTGGTGCTGAGCCTGCAGCAGATTCAAGGCGGCGGTGGTCTGCTCATACTCAACAGTCAGCCGTATCATCATCAACAGCAGCAGCAGCAGCAGCAACAGACGCATCAGCCGCAGTCGCAGCAACAGTCGCCCACGTCCCAGACTCAGGCGCAGAGTCCGCTGGAGCTGCATCAGGTGCAACAGCAAACGGAGCAACAACAGCAACACCATCAGCAGCAGCAGCATCAGCAACTCGTCGTGCGACAGACTTCGCTCGATCACGAGCACCAGAAGCTGCACGACATCGACTCCAAGGACAGCAGTAGTCACGGGTAAGTCTCTATTATTCTCTCGTAAATTATCACTATAATACATATTAATTTGAAAAAAATGAAGCAGAAGCGGCATGCTGTCGGACTGCTCGGGTCAGCAGCAGCAGCAGCAATCAGGCGGTGCTCCTCCCGCCACCTCCGGCGCGGGGGTCGTAGCGGACTTCGTGGAGACGCTGGACCTCAGCCAGGAGGACATACAGCGCACCTTGTCGGCCAACATGGTGCACCATCATCACTCGTCGCCGTCGCCGTCGCCGGCCGACAACAGCATCATCAATCCGATGGACTTCATCGACTCGACCGACGACGTGCTGGTCAATCTCGACGCCTTCGACATGTTCAGCGATCTGCCGGAGCTGCACGACTTCGACGCGGCGGCCGCCGCCGCAGCCGCAGCCGCCGCCACCGAGGCCGAAGCAGCGACGGCAGTAGCGGCGGCTGGCAACAAGACTGACAGCACAAACCATCACCAGCAGCAGCATCATCAGCATCACCTTCATCAGCAGCAACAACGACAGCAGCAACAACATCAACATCAACATCAACAACAGCAACATCAGCAACATCATCATCATCATCATCAACAGCAACAACAACAGCAGCAGCAGCAGCAGCAACAGCAGCAGCACTGCATCAGTCCGGATAACGAGGCAGCAGCTCATTGTCTCTCGGCCAGCAATGCCTCTCCGGGCAACAGCAGCAGCAGCAGCAGCACCGTCCACATAGCCGAGTACAGCCCGGAGTGGAGCTACACCGAGGGTGGCGTTAAGGTCGGTATTATCGTAGCTGCCTGCCTGCAAGCTGCTAGCTGCAGCGCCGTAAATCACCCTCATTTATTGCACAATGTACAGCAGCAGCACGCCCGAGGCGGCGGTACTAGCGGGGTAACGCGTTCACAAAAGCTGCCCTTCGCCAGCGAGCTTATATTCAAAACGATATTTGCGACGACAGAGAACGAATTATACACGCGGAAATCTTGAACGCGTTCGATGAGTCATCGGTTTCACGGGCCATTATTATGACTTTGTAACACACAGTTTTGTGGGAAGTGGGGAGCTTTTATTCCTTCTTTCTAACGCGCGCGCCGCATTATGTGTCCTCGATACTGCGGTGGACGAGCTTTTTTTACTGCGCGAGCAGTGTACGAAAGAATGTGTGTCGAGCGGTGGCTGCTGCAAGTGGCCATTAAAACGAGTATTAATTGCCATAAGTTCGCTGATTAATGAGTCGACGAGCTGTGTTTCTTTTTTCGTGCCCAACGACGTGGCTATCTCTTTACAATTGTCTCGCGCACAAATTCCACCGTTATTATACAAGAGCGATAAAAAGCAGCAATCGTATTATTATCATTATAGGTGCTGGTGGCGGGCCCGTGGACGGGCAACACGTCGCAGTCCTACTCGATACTGTTCGACGGCGAGCCCGTGGAGGCGTGCCTGGTCCAGCCGGGCGTGCTGCGCTGCCGCTGCCCCGCGCACTCGGCGGGCGTCGCCTCGCTCCAGGTGGCCTGCGACGGCTACGTCGTCTCCGACAGCGTCGCCTTCGAGTACAGGCGCGCGCCCCAGAACGAGCCCAGCCCGGAGAAGGCCCTGCTCGACCGACTGGCGGACGTGGAGACGAGGCTGCAGGGCCCTGGTCCGCCCTCGCCCGCCGCCCATCTCGAGGAGCGACTGGTGGCCTACTGCCAGGACGCGGTGATCCGTCCGTGGCGCAACGGCGCCGAGCCCCTGCAGTCGGGCGGCCCGACGCTGCTGCACCTAGCCGCGGGTCTCGGCTACTCGAGGCTCGCCTGCGCCCTGCTGCACTGGCGCGCCGAGAACCCCAGCGGTGTGCTGGACGCCGAGGTCGACGCGCTGAGGCAGGACGCCGCGGGACTGACGCCCCTCGCCTGGGCCTGCGCAGCTGGACACGCCGATACGGCCCGTATACTCTACAGGTCGGTTTCGAGCCTTTTTTCATATTATGAGAATGTGTGCGTTCGGGATGAGTAAAAATTCGACGGCTCCGCAGATGGAACGCGATGGGACTGCGAGTGAGGGACTGTCGGGGCAAGAGCGCGACCGAGTTGGCCGCGGAGAACGGCTACCACGCCATCGCCGACGAGCTCGATCGTTTGGAGGCGCACAGGCAGGACGAGAAGCTGTTCTTGAAGCCGGCCAGCCCGAGTCCGAGGAGACTGTCGCAAGATAGCGGACTCGATCTCGCCTATTGTAAGTTCAATTATGTAGTATCGTTGATCATTAATTCATCGAGCCATAATGACCGGTATAAAAAAATTTTTATCCAACTTTACGTACACTTTTGTGATCTTCAACGCTTGATTTTCAAATAAACTAAAATAAATGCACTCGTACGAGTTGGTTTTGTAAAAATACGTGGGTAAAAAAAACTTTACGCAGGTGGTTGTTCGTCGATATCTTTTTTGGACGATATGGAGCTGCTAGCGCGGAGTGATAAATCACCGTTGGCTCTCGCCCATCGGGGTATGATTTTATCTATTAAAATACAACCTTGCTTGCAGAATTGTACTTTGATTTTTGTGTTAAAATAAAAATAAGCGAGACAACGGCCTAAACGATTGACAAATAGTTGAGATTATTGCCTCAAACGAGTCAAAAATTGACTTTTTTATGAAAAATAAAGAACGAGACCTATAAGTAAGTGATTTTGACGGCGTTATTCAAAATATGGTTTACAAAAGCAAAAAGTCTCTCCAGCGGGGAATCGAACCCCGGTCTCCCGCGTGACAGGCGGGGATACTGACCACTATACTACTGAAGACTTGGAAATTGGAGCCAAAAGGCGAAAAAAAATCGAAAAATAGCGACTCCGAAAAATTCGGAGCAAACGCGACTCCGAAAAAACGGAGCAATCGCTGTTACGCTGAATTCGGAGCAGTTACGGCTCGGCTAAATTCGGAGTCATATCAGCTCCGAATTAATTAAAGAAAAACTATAATTCATGAAAACAATTGAATTAAAAAAAAAAATTCATCATTTTTTTCGATCGAGACATACACAAATCACTTATTATGTCTATTTTACACACAAACGACCTCAAGCGTGAATCTAGTGTATTAGAGATTGTTTCTGTTTTAAGAGGCGTGATAATCATCATAATAATAGTTACGTGTGAGCTGGCATAGGCAGAGCCCCCCCACCACACTACTTTCACCGTTGAGGTTGTATCGATGTCACTCTGTACAGTGTGTATAGATTACGGCGTGGTATTCAAATGTTCATTTAAAAAGATGTAGAATCAAAAGAGAACAAACAAATGGAATATCAAAATTAAAAAAATAATATTAAAACTTTCGAATTGGCGAACTGCCTATTTTTACTTTATTTTTTAGTTACTTCATATGGTTGTTGCGATTACTCGTGCATTGTTCGATGTAGCATGATTGTTAAAATCATTGGTCAGCGTAGAACGTTAAATCAAAGCCTACTTTTATTTCCTTTGAACGAGTTCAAAGTGTAAATAATTTAAAGTATGCATGCGACCAGCTTTCATAAATTTAAAGTATCATTAAACTAATAAATAAATGCAAGTAACTGGAGGAAAGCAATTGTAAAATTTCATAACATTATAAAAGGAATACTAAATGTAATAATTATTTTTCCTATTCACTGTGGCCATATATGAGTGTAATACGCCCGTTTTTAACGTGTACGTTTAAAAACGAATGAAAAAAAATTAAACCACCCGCCTATTACGTTTACAGGGGAAGAGGACGCAAAAGTTCTGACCTTGGCCGAGAAGATAATCGCGGCTCTGCCGGACCGCATCAAGAGGGAGCAGTGCGAGGTGGCGACGTCGTCACCGACCTCGCCACGAATGTCCCTGTCTCCCCTCGAGGACGCTCTTATGGAGCAAATGGTGAGCTATATACACGAGGCGAATCAAATCCTACGCGATACACTTTTATTCACGTATTCGACTCTTTCTTCCACCCGGGTCAATTATATAGCCCATCGACGCGGGCGAGCTGTTCGACTCGTATCGCGACTGCAGCGGCGGCGCCACCTCGGTCTCGGACGTGGACGCCGAGGCCAGTCCCTCGTCGCCGTCGAGCAGCTGCCTGACGCCGGACTCGCCCTCGCCGCCCCCGACCACCGACGACTTCTGCGACTTTCTCCAGCTGCAGCTGGACGGAGGCGGAGGCAGTAGTTCTAATACTGGTTGCTCCGGTAGCAGCCAACAGCAGCAGAGCAGCTGCTCGACCGACAAGATAATCGGCAGCGCGGCCATAGCCGCCACGAGCAATTCGGAAGGATCCGGAGGTGGCGGCGAGGCCGACCTCTCGCGACTGACGCTGTCGGATCGGGAGCAGCGCGAGCTGTACCAGGCGGCGCGCATGATACAGAAGGCCTACAGGAGCTACAAGGGCAGACAGAGGCAGGAGGAGGCCGAGCGACACGCGGCCGTACTCATACAGCAGTACTACAGGCGACACAAGCAGTTTGCCTATCACACGTGAGTGTATAGTAATATAAATCTCCAGTGCCGTGGAAAATCTGCTGAAAGTCGTTGCGCGAGCTTAATATACCGTGCGTGCGTCGCCACTGATCAGAAGATAAACGCGCATAAAGTCTCGCGTACATAGCACAGTAGTATCAAGAGAGAAAGAGATAGGAGTCGAAAGGGCCAAATGGCACATTGTCTTACAAGTCCTCGTACCTTCCTCCTCCTTCTCTCCCCCATTCATAATAGATATTATTATCACTCGGCAAAGTCGAGAGGAACTTAATAGCAGCTTATGATCATCAGTTATTCTCGGCTCTCGCGACGGTCCCTCGCGACACGCGGTCTCTCTCTCTTTCTCCGTCTTTGTGGGCACCGCACCGAGAGCGTCTTGACGAAATAAGTTACGATTATGCGTGTGCCGTGCCGTGTGTGCCGCGTCGTCGTCTCGTTCGTGAGAGCTTCTTTTCTTACCCCGCAGACAAAGTGTCCCGTGCGACGACTCGCGAGAGAGAGAGCAAGAGGCCTATATGTATAGCAGCAGCTCAGCGGAGAAGGCTCACTCCCTGTCCGGCGGCGCGCGCGTGCGGCAGCGTTGAACTTTTAATTGCCATCGTAAATAATTCGGAAACTTTGCAGCAGCAGCAGCAGCACAGGACGACCCGAGGAGCGAGCCGGGGAAAGAAAGAGTAGTAGTAGGGGGGTTTTAGTTTCCTTCGTTTCTTGCTCGCTGCCGCCGTTGCCGCGCTATACGACGGACCGAATACGAAATTAAGCTGGCATTAAATTAATACGACTTTGGCTGCCTTTAGCTTAGCTATACGTTTTCTCTCTCTCTCTTTGCCCTCTGCCCTCCTCTACTACTACTACTCCCTTCCTTTTCCTTCTTTCTCTCCCTCTTTCTTACCCGCGAGGAGGACGATAGGGACCCTGTATGTATATAGCAGAGACACACTGTATATAGAGAGTCCTTGCATATACTTATATACATACATTTTGTACTGTGCTATAGGAGCGACCAACCCTTGGCCAAATTCGGCCGCCTCGCGCGCGTCGTCGTCTTTTTTAGTACTACTTTCAACAATATTTTTTTTTGCTCGTACTTTTTGTTTTCTTAAACGAACTTTTCGTCCTTTTCCCTCTTGTTTTTGTTTGTTGACCCGCCTCTCCATCTCGCCGAAGGGAGATGTAGCCGAGACAGGGTAATTTTGCTGTATTTTAATTATTTTTTTTTTTTGGGAGGGAGGGAGGAGGAAACTTGTAAGCTGCGTGTAAAAGATCGTACGCAGGAATAAACGCGAGGTCGATTTGGGAACTCCTCGACGCCTATATCGATCTTCGATTCGGAAACGATTCGTAAAAATTAAAACGAAAGAGACTTTATTAATTCTTTCGATTACCCGGTGAGCACCTCACTCTTTTTTTTCCGAATCAATTAAAAGTTTTACGAATTTACAAATAACTCCGTTCCGCAATAATTCGCTCGAGCGAAAGAAAGAAAGTAAGTAAGTAAGTAAGTAAAAAAAAAGTCAAGGAGAGGTCCTGCGCGTTCTCTCTTTATAATCCATAAAAAAAGTGTGTATATAAATCATCGTCGTTGAAAAGTTAAAGAGCCTCCGAGAAGTTGGTCAGAGGAGCTCTCGCACAGCCACGTATTATTGAGAATCAAATCACGCGGCTTACCGAGGACTTTGTGTCCCTCCGCTTAATACTATATATATGTGTGTGTTTGCTTGTGTGCCTTCAGACAAGCGACAAAAGCCGCCATGGTCATACAGAGCAACTACAGGAATTACCGCTCGCGTCCCGGAGTAGCCGCGAGCGCGCGACAGCAGGCCGTGCAGCAGCAGGCGGCCCACCAGGCGGCGCGCAAAATTCAACAGTTCATGCGGCAATCAAAAATTAAGTGAGTTTCACCCACCGACGGTCTCCTGTCTCCGTTATATAGTAGTTGGAATATCTACGTAGTCGCTTTGCTCGTCTGCAAACTTTGCGTACGAGTTGGAATCCTAGCACCACTTGCCTTATCCCTCGTATAATATGCATCGTAGATTCGCACGTGCCTGTGTATAACGTTATTAACCTTGAGCATTGTGTAAGAGTGTGTGTGATTTTTGATACTAATAACGCTGTTTCAACTAACGATGACTCCTTTTGTTTTTCCCTGCAACTCAGCCTGTCGTGGGACGACTCGCGACCGGTAAGTATCAGCATCGTACAGCCATTCATATAATCACCGCGCGATAAAAGTATAGGGGATACTGTACTAAATACACCGTATGAACGAGGAATAATTGTTATACGATGCAGCTGCAAAACTTTCGCGCGTATTATACACCAACCCAGGTGAAGAATATGACAAAAGATCTTAAATAAGTTCCTATACGAGATCACACATATGATCGTACACAAGATCTTGTGCAAGATCTGGCCTACGATAATCGACACAAGATCTTATATAAGTTCTTGTGTCAGATCGTATGTTAAAACTTATATACTTTGATATTTAAGAATCCTAATAATTTTCATACCTGACGGAGGAGGTGTACCAAGAATTACTTTAAGATTGTTCATTAAGTAATAAAGTATGGAAATTTATATTAAATAATAACAAATTATCAGATTTTTAATCGAGGAATTATTTTATTTTCAAGTTTCAAAAATGATTACATTTTTAAGTGCGACCTAACATAGATAGGTTTATTATTAAACATTTTCTACATCTAATTGACCAAGAAAACTCTAGGTTTTTTACGAATCAACTTACAGCTGGTTTTCACAAAATACACTTAAAAAACATATTTGATCTGATGATAGTCGAAGATGAAAAATAACCTAAGAACGGGTGTAGCACCTGAAACATGAATTTTATGAAAAATTACCACTTTCTTGGTGAATTCATGTATGTGTATTTATGCATGTATTATATTAGTATTAGAATAATAAGGTTATTTTGTTTATTAACTACATTACAAATCACTTATCTTATAAAGATGCTACAATCCGGCTCTGCTGCGACACTGCTTCTGTTGCAACTGCTTCTGCTGTTTCTTCAATTTTTTCACGAAAATCACTTGCTACGGTCGACGCCACGCAGATTAGCGTGCGCCGTACGCAGCAGCGCTCTGTCTCTCGTTTGTAACCGACAATTACCAAATTATTCACGCCAATAACAGCATAACAGCGATCTTAAAAGTGTTTCCAAATATAAATAATATATTTCACATCAATTTTTAACTGGTTTAGAATATATATTCTAGTGTGAATAGTTTGGTAGTTATCGGTCACTGACCAGAGATAGAACGCTGTCATCTGCGTGGCGTCGACCGTAGCAAGTGATTTTCGTGAAAAAATTGAAGAAACAGCAGAAGCAGTTGCAACAGAAGCAGTGTCGCAGCAGAGCCGGATTGTAGCATCTTTATAAGATAAGTGATTTGTAATGTAGTTAATAAACAAAATAACCTTATTATTCTAATACTAATATAATACATGCATAAATACACATACATGAATTCACCAAGAAAGTGGTAATTTTTCATAAAATTCATGTTTCAGGTGCTACACCCGTTCTTAGGTTATTTTTCATCTTCGACTATCATCAGATCAAATATGTTTTTTAAGTGTATTTTGTGAAAACCAGCTGTAAGTTGATTCGTAAAAAACCTAGAGTTTTCTTGGTCAATTAGATGTAGAAAATGTTTAATAATAAACCTATCTATGTTAGGTTGCACTTAAAAATGTAATCATTTTTGAAACTTAAAAATAAAATAATTCCTCGATTAAAAATCTGATAATTTGTTATTATTTAATATACATTTCCATACTTTATTACTTAATGAACCATCTTAAAGTAATTCTTGGTACACCTCCTCCGTCAGGTATGTAAATCATTAGGATTCTGAAATATCAAAGCATATAAGTTCTAACATACGATCTGACACAAGAACTTATATAAGATCTTGTGTCGATTATCGTAGGCCAGATCTTGCACAAGATCTTGTGTACGATCATATGTGTGATCTCGTATAGGAACTTATTTAAGATCTTTTGTCATATTTTTCACCTGGGAAAACAGAAAGACGAGAAATAGAGAAGTATAATAGTCGATAGTCGTAAGTCACGAATCGCGTGGTGTTTAAAATTGCGTTCTGTTTCATACAAAAAAAAATACCGTACCAATTTTTTTTTGAATTGCGTTACTTATTCGCTACCGTTTACGAATTTGTCCGCGCGTTCGCGGCGCGTGCCTCGCGTCGCCTCGTAGCGGCTGCGTTACGAACTACCGAAATTATCGTATACAGACGTACCTCGTTATACGCGGGGGTTACGTTCCGGAAAAGTTCCGCGTACAACGAAATCCGCGTATAATGAGAGAAAAATCGAATCTTTAATAGAGACTTTTTATTTTACATAAATATATCAATATAAAAATCTACAGAGTTCGAATAGTCGACTAATTCGACGCTGTTAAGGAAGACTAGCACGTTTACATTTAAAAATGTATAGAAACGTGCTACTCTTCCTTAACAGCGTCGAATTGACCTCAAAGCTCGTAGCAATAGTAGCAATACACTCCCCTTCTCTGATTAAATTTAGAATTTTCAATTTTTCAGCCAAATTCATAACTTTTCTTTTTTTTTTATTGGAGTTTTAGAAATTTTCGACCGTCTTGAACCGCGTATAACGTAAACTTATCCGCGTATAACGAGACATCGTCGCATTTGGCAATCCGCGTATAAGGGTAAACCGCGTGTAAGGAGGTATGCCTGTACCATAATACAAAAGTCGTTTTCTCTGCTTCTCGACGCCGCCCCCCGTCGTGCGTCTTTGCAGACTGCAGAGCGCCAGAGCCGTCGCAAGCGAGAGCGCGAGCCAACCGGCGGAGCCGGACACTTCCAGGGTGGCTGCTGTCCACCCAAGCTGGCGCTCATCTAGCCCAGGTGTCGGTCTGGCAGTCGACCCGTGTCCCGAGATGACCTACTAGTCGACTGTCAGTCGAGCCTACAGCAGCAGCTTACGCCTACGCAGCATCAACATCAACATCAACATCAGCACCTACGTCATCATCAACAGCAGCAGCAACAACAGCAGCATCTGGTTCATCATCATCAGCAATCGAGCATGTTCGAGCTGTCGCCGACTCTGCGCAGTCAGACTGCCGTTTGAAGCACGAAGAAGAAGAAGAAGAAGTGAAACGAAAACACCAAAGCCAAAATATAAGAAAAAACCAAAGAATAATCGAGAAAACGGTTAATTACTTTTCGCATCTCTTTAATTATTACGTAAGAAAAAATAAATAAATAAAATAATACGATTATAAATTTCTATAGATTCATATGAGAACAAAAAAAAAATTAACAATAACTCACACACACAATTACGTAATCGCTAGGGCAATTTTCTACTTTGAAATTTTTCGGAAAACTAATTCACCGAAAAGATAAAAATAAAAAAATTTCTTCCTTGACTAACTACTACTACTACTAATACTACTACCTACATACCCCCGCGTGACGTTGACGTACGTAGATCAACAAATCCCCTTCCAACTATAGGCCTCGTAAACTTTTTATCCCTTACTTAATTAAAATCTCTTTATACTACCGTGTGCCGCGCTGAAAAGGAGCAAATTTCGCTCTCTCTTTCGATCTCGCTCTCCGCGATATATATATATTATATATTACGAAAGGAACTTCGCTCGAGCCTCTCTCTCCGGAGTAAAAAAGCGAGAGTACGCGAGAAAAAAAAATACACCTCTGCTTAGTGAAAAAATTTTTTATACTAACGCGATCTGAATAAAGTGCTATACGTAATTCGTTATTAATTACAATTTCTCTCGTAATATATATATGAAGATAAGGTGCGGTGCACACGAGGAGCTCCGAGTAGTAGGGTAGGGTAGACGGGGGGGGTCACATAAGAAAAGCTTTTCTTTATGGTATATATATACCCGATACGCTCGGTAATGCGGCCGATCGGATATATATACACGTATAAAACACAAAAGCAGCGTAATCGAGTACCTGAAAAATTTAAAGCGGACCTGCCGAAATATATTGTTAGCCGCCGCCGCCGCCGCCGCGTCGTATGTATAGCAGCATTCCCGCGTGCGTAACGACACGTTATAATATTAATAATCCAACTCTCTCTCTGCACCCGCGCGCTCCGACTCTCCGAGACACGTTCGTAAGAATAAAAAAAATAATAATAATAATGAAATTCGCTTTTACTCCTAGGTAACGGTGATCCTATAACGATTGCGTAGGTACCGTAGTTCGAGATATTATATAGACGACTTGGATAGATAATTGAAAAATGATAATAAGAACAACACAAGGACAACAACAATTACTATGTAACAACCACAATAATAATTGATATACAATAATTCGATAGGGTAGAGTAGAGTAAATTTTAACCATACCTTTTTCGCAGCAGTTTCGGATGCGTTTTTTCCAAACATTCGCTTTTCGCGGAAGCGCAACTACCACGACTATCTCTGTCTCCGTCGCAGCCCATTTTTAAAATGAGAAAAAATTTTAATCGACGCGAAATTGCGCGTCGGCATTATATATAAATATGTATAAAAATCAAAGTTGAAGACTGTAGATGGCGATTAAAAAATCACCGACTCGAGCGCGCTCGTTTATTTGCGGATCGTTGATCCGCGGTTAAAATTTTACAATATAATGCTAGAAGCAGCTCTGCGATACAAATCCACGTCTCTAGTAGATAAATATTCGTTTTTTTTTTATATTTCGCTTGTACATATAATGTTTATTCGTCTGTTAAAACTTAAAAAAAAAGAAAAGCAATTGTAATATATATACGGTAAATCACTTGTTAACCGCGTTGGGTTTTTACTCTCAGCTCGCGTGTGTGCGCGCGCGAAAAGGTGTGCAGCGGCAGTCCCGAGTGCAATATAAAACCGTAGAGATTAGTTTCTAAATCAACCGTTATCCGGTATAAGGCGGCTGTATTACGAGAGTCGATTGTTGAGTCATTCGAGAATTATATGCGAAGTTCTTTGCCAAGGCGGAGGAATCGAAACGTCACGAAAAAAAAATACAATAAATAAATAAAATGAACGACGTTTTTTTAAAAAAAATAAAAGTCCAGCTGCAGCGCGACGGCTTTGACTGACGTGTTCGAGGCGTGCTTAATCGAGCAAATATATACAACATTACATCAAGTAATTTCATTATTATCGTTATCTAGCGGATATCATCGTGTTCATTATCATGTAGGCTTTTGTGCGTAACGCATATGATCGGCTTGGATATAAAACCCGATTACGTACGTATAACGAAGAAGGGGGGAAATGAAAAAAATCTAAGGACGATAATTCAGTCGTAGTTCAATTGTACGCGTCACAATTACACTCACACAAACACATACACACACAAACACAATATAATAAATGAATATTTTAATCATAAAAAAAACGTTGAAAATCGAACTGACTTTTCTAGGAAGTTTTCCTCCAGAGGGCGAAAGTTGGTTCGATCGACGCTATTGTTTCTATTTTTATACGAAGACACGTTCAATATCGCAGGATGACCAGCAGAGAGTCAGTTCGAACAAAATCGTCCATACATATAAACGTGAATTTGTCTCGATCGAATATAATAACAAACCCAATGCAAGCTCGATACCGATGACGAATAGGTGCGTTGAAAGGCAAGTCCGCGACCTCGACGTAATTCAGAAAATTCAGAAGAAATATATGTACGCGGCTGCCATATAAGTCGCTGGAAATGGACTTTACACATGCTCGGTTTATAAGATAGAAGAAGCGAACTCGGTCGCGAAGTCCAAGTATCAGTTCTATCCCGTATAAATTACGGCTTCGAAATAAAAGGTAATTGGTGCTACACACACACAGACACTTATACACATACACCAATACGGTGCACTCTGCAACGCAAATCGGTAAATAAGTACATACATACCTTATACCAATCTTAGATAGATTGACTTTTTTTTTTGTATATTCCGGGGCATCGCGCGTATAATACATGTACGTACCACGAGATATCTCGGGCGCGAACAAAAGAAGACGAACGAGGTAATATAAAGTTCGCTCGAGAGGAGCCAAACAGAAATAAGTTTCAATATTATGGCCTTTTCCTCGTGCGCGAGAGCGAGAGAACAAACCGATTCCGAATGATTTAAATCGCGCCACAGTGTTTTAAAGCTCGCGTTCGTATAAAGATATAAAATTCGAACTCGCGCGCGCGCCGCAGCCAACGACGAATCGAGATTTCATCGATGCCCCGCGCAGCGCGTGAAGCTAAATGTAACGATTGGTGCAATACATACACAGACACCCACAGACACATCTTTTTCGAATTTTTTTTTCAATTTGCCGAGCGCTTCGAAATATTTCCTCGGTGCGTTTGTGATATTTACACGGGAGAAAGGTAATTATAATGGCGCGGCGCAAAGCACCAATTAATGTCGTAGACAAAAAAAATAAATAATAATAATAACAATGATTCACTTTTAGGATACTTTTTCACGTGATACTAACACATATGTATACATTTGCTCTTTTGAATATTTGCGAAACGAGGCGCGTAGCGAAAAAAATAAATGAATAAAAAAATTAAAATATCCCAAGGCGGTAAATAACCGCGCGCGGCGTGTACCGCGACGGTCTTTGATATATCATTACGATAACGAGAATAACTAGGATTATTTAAGGATAATCGAAAACCTTTCGAGAGGAGAGAAAAATAATTAAAAACTCGCATCCAAGAGGCGATTCAAGTAGTATGAGTTTTACAGCTTCGGAATTTTTCATCATCTAAATACTCCAAGGGTTCATTTGAAAGAAGAAAAAAAAATAATAAGAATATTATATATATAGCTAAATCTCCAATGAACTGCATAAGAATTCCATAAAAAATTTTTTCCAATATAATTCTTATATAACCGAATCTCTTTGATCTTTTTCTTAAACAATAGTTACTTAAAATAAAATTATTACGAATGAAGTAATATTAAACATAGACAATTGTGAATAAATAGCAAAGACTTTACAAAAACATATTTGTAATGTGTTATAGAGTAACGAGCTTTCATATTTCTATAAGAAGTTTAAACATACGAATAGAACAAATTTATAAATTCATAGGAACGCGCAGCCTCGTCTGAAGCGAAGATTCCAAGCTATTCTAGATATTTTTGCAATTGACAAAGAATCTATCTATCTATCTATTATAAATACAGTGTAAAAATATGTATGCGCAAGCGCGTATATGTGTGCGTGTACGAGCGTGTGTATGCATGAGAAAAAGCGCGCCTGAAGAGGTATGCCTGGGAAGCGCATACATATATCATTAGGAAAGACAAATTTTTAAATAAATATATTATTATATATAGATTCTTGATAAAGAAACGAGGAGAAAAATAGTTAATGCAATAGACTTTCGATTTTTTCGATATCTTCTTCGATTTTTCCCGCTTACATACAAAATGCTAGAAAAATGATAAAGAGAACGAAAATATCAACGAGGAAGGCCTTTTTCCAATTAAAATTAAAAAAAAAATAAATAAAAATTATTCATTCACTAAATACGTACACGAGCTAAGATTGACAGGTGGAAAAGGGGGGTGGCTAAGATTTTGTCATTAGCGTATAAATAATAATAATAATAATAATTAACTCTGCCGCGCCGTCAAATCTGCGACGGAACGATTTTTTCCAGAAGTTGCTTCGAAAGGGTTTTTGAAAGTAAGTCGGTTTCGAGAATTTATATATCCTGTGACTTGCACCTATACCGCTTTTATCTCGCTGTGCCTACGGATTTGACGGTATGCAATATTGTACAGCAGTCTCGACCTTATACAAATTGTACAGATGGATGAAAACGAATGAGCGAAACTTGAAGAAAATTATTTCTGGCATGCGTGCTCGAACGTCAAAAAAAAAAACGGATAAAAAATGAAGATTGAAAAGTTTGGCACAATTAATGTATAAGCCGAAAAAAGCCCTGCGTTCCTGTTGGTTCTTAAGAAATAATACAAAAAAAAAAACATGATAATTTACATTGTGATAAATCTCATAGTGATCCAAGAAAGTATTTCCAAATATGTTCGTTCTCGCTGTCGAGTTTTTATACCCCGGAACATCTTGATCGATTGAGAAACGCAAGAAAAAGATTTAAGGATCGGAGTGAAGTGTATAAATAGTTGGGGCATAGGTGCTTACTGCAGGATTTTCTTCCTTACAAAAATTCAACTTGTACATATATACTTTAGTCTTTCTCTCGTTATGACTACCGAATTTTTTTGCTCTTCCTTCTTTTTTTTCACTTAAAAATCTGCATTCAGTCGAGATGAAATAATTTTTCTAACGAAATCGCATAATTTGCCTCTCGAAATGTAACTCCGGTTTAACAAAGATAAAGCCAATCTGGCAGCGATTCAATCATTCGCCGACATTTTTGGCAATGGGCGAGGTGCATTATTTTTATTGGCATAGGCTACTCGTTTTTTGCGGTCATTAAATTTGCACCCATCTCGATAAATTAAGAAATTGAACTTTTTTATTCGCCTCCGTGAATTCTTTACTTGGTCAGTAAACATAAAGAAACGGATGTTAATGGTAATGGACAAAGAGCCTGGACTTTTGCAATGTGCCGTATATGGATCGCGCGAGGATCAATTTCAACGAGCATTTTCATGCTACCGAGTCTGACGATTTTACCCTATTGATAATTTGCTCTACATTTTTTTAAAGCTGCTCCGTCGATCGAGGTAACACATAAACACTATGAAACATTATTTTAGAGCAAATAATCTTGGACGACGAAAAAATTATAGACGAGGATTAACTTTACGTGGAAGCCACGAAACGAATTTAATACTATTTAATGATAATTCAAAAAACACCATAACTTAAAAATACTAATGAATTGATAAAATCTACGATTATGAACTTTATTGATCAAATCGATTAAATAACCTTTTCTCTCTAGGAGCTGTTCAATCGGTCGAGAATTTTCCTTCAAATAATGAATAGACAATTAAATAATCGATAAAGCTCAATCATAAAAAATATATAATAAACAGTTTTGAATAGATGACAATCAAATTTTGATTATAAAAAAAAATTTGCGACCTTGGACAGCTCTATCTATAAGATTTGTATCGTTAGATAATTATAACACTATTTGAATACAAAAAATCATGTTTATGATTGCCAAAGCAACCAATATTCACAAATCCAAACAAGTATTTTTTGATCATAAATAAAGCCATGAGTAGAATAAGTTGAATAGTATGAATTGCATGGCGAGTACTGTTAAAAAAAAATCTATTATTACTTTTTTCCAAATTTGAATGAAAGAATAAAAAAAATGTACAACAATTCAGAATGATATTTTGGAGGACAATGAGCATGAGAATGTTCGTTTATGACCTTAAATTTAGGTCGATAAAAGAAGAGTTTTAAATTAATAAACTTCCAGAGATTGTAATGTTTTTCTTAAAATTTTCTTAAATATTTCAAAAAGTATTATTAATATAGGATTTCCGCTTTATGAATTTCGGTGATATTGACTTGAAGTTTTTGGAATATCCAAAGATTTTGAATCGGCACCATTAAGTTAATGATTTTCAAACAGAGACCCGTGAGCCTTCGTATGCTTACTAAAGATTTCCGTTTATTAAATCAAACTCGAAATTAAAATAGAAAAATACATGCCGAATCGAAATCCATAACTCGGAAATTCAATATTCTTGACTCTTTGAGAACTAAAGGAAGAATTTTCACTCAGAGGGTTATCAAAGATGATCTGCTAATACGTAGAAGATGCATAGCCTAATTGCTACCATTTAGTCCGATTTTTGCTCTGTAAAAATGAAGCATAATTCATAAAGCAGCTCGAATTCACGAAACATACGTAAAAAATGACTAGTACTTATAAGATTCTGAAATTTGCTTGTTTATTCGAGAAAGTATGGAGGCAAGTCAGGATTCTTTTATCAAAAAAAATTATAAAATTATAAATTTTGTTAATCAATAAAAAATCATTAGGCAAAGATGATTAATAATTCTATAAAACATATATTTCAATATTTCGAACGTAACTTGATAGAATTGCAAAAACAAACATGTAGCGCTCACGAAAAGAAATATAATAAAATATCCTAGAAATCGATGATACGAATTAATTAACTTAATTAAAGTTTTCAAAGATTTGCAAACGAAAAGTGGTGTCATCGAAAGATATTAGTAAATTATAACTTAAACATTCGAGCCCTATTATTGCGCTAGAAGTGCCGAATTCGTCGAGTACTCGAATAAGCTTAACCATCCAAAAGTATGTATCCCTGCAATTGAAAAATTTCTGCTAAAACAATCTTAATAAATACTAATTTTTTGCTACAGTAGCAGAATTTTTCTTCTGTAGGGCATTAAAAGGTCATGAAATATTAAAAATAACAAACATAAAAGATTTTAATACAAAAAAAAGTTAAACGAAATGGATAAAATAAAAATGGATAGTTAACACTTATTATATCATCTACTTGTCCGTCCGCTTGTGTCTGACGTCTATAAAAGATTTTGAATCATCCGTTCAATACTCATAATGATTAAAGAAAAAAAAAAAAAATAAGGAAAACCGTTGAAATGTTTTCGACTAAGTTTTAGATTTAAGAAAATATCTCTTTAAGGTGGAACCAATGTACGTTGAAAAAATTTTATTCTGAACATGTAATTTTTTCATATTCAACGACTTTTCTACGTAATAAATTATAAGCTTTTAGGTAATATCAATGGGGATGAATGATAAAACTAAGCGATCATTTTTGTACTCGATTATTTCGGCACTTCATTTTTTCTCACTTGACTTAATCTCTTCGGATTGATTTCAATTCTCTATTATATATTGAAAAATTAGAAACTGAGAAAGGAATTCCTTCGAATGGTAAAATTCCGATATCCAGTTCTATGGTGAATACAACAATTATTTCAGTGATTTATTGTAATTGATTTAAAATCTATCAATCGAAGATCGATGTGAAGCTTAGACTGCGTGTCGAGGTACGCATAAAGTGTATAGAAGAAAAAATTCTTTTGTTATTCGAAAAATACAAATATATCGAAGTTTATATTCTCTTCTTCTAAAATTTTAAATGTTAAAGAAGGATACGTTCCAAAGTTGTTTGGGAGGATGAAAAATTTATTACAAATCTTATCGATTTATGAATTATTTGCGAATTCGTCGTTGCGTTCAAGAAGCAAAAAAAAAACACAGCAGAAAAAAAGAACAAGTAAAAAAAGTAAAATCATTGCGTGTATCATGATTTATTTATGTACTCGATGACTAAACGTTCAACTAATGTAAATAATGAAAATATTTTATCTACATATTTCTAATAAGGGGGTATTGTGGATACCACATATTGCGGGGGTGCGCGCGAGCCAATTAACCTACGGCCCCGCGCGCCCGTTTCTTTTTACCGATTATAATATAGCATTATGATTAATTACCATGCATTGTAATAAGTTTGTGTGACGATCGTGTTCTACAGACTCACACCAAGGCATCTGGTGCCCCCCCATTGTTACACCATTTCATCATTGCATTTAATAAATTATATATATTTATTGACTTATAGCTTCTATTGACAAGTTCATTAAATATGCTTATTACGAACCCCGTCCCCGCCCTCGTCTCTTATTATTACGTATATGTACCGCGAATAATTATACGGTGATTGTATTATAATAGCGACTCGGTTCGTGAGAAAATAACAAGAAAAATTGTCAGTTGAAAATGTTTTCATTAATGATTTATTCGAAGCATACAAACAGTACAAATGTTGTGTGTCGTCATTTTTCAAAAGTAAAAATAAAAATGTGTTCTTCGTATCTTTTATATTATTTTCACTATATAGTTCATAAAGTAATGTGAACTCGGCGCACTTTGATTATCCTGTTTTCTTGTTTTGTTCAATATATAAATTGCACATACCACATACCGTAAATTGATACTTTTGAAAATTCACAACGATATAAATTATAAATTATAATTCGAACGACAGACACTCAGTGTATAAATTTTATTTCCTATTTGTCTAATTATGTTTTACAAGCATACAACTCGTACCAATAAATAAGAGCATAATCAAGAGATCAGACGGATTGACACTCGAATTTAATTCTCCTTCACGATGAAAAGCCAAGAATTCTACATCGGGCCACAGCTTTTATAAAGAAAGTGAAAATCCCTGAAATCTTTTTTGTTCGATTACGAGTTATATGGATATCGATCGAGTTTTTTTTTTGTGTTGCGTAATGATAAGAAAAAAAGAACAATCCGATTAAAATAATTCAACGATCTTGATCAATTAGAAAATTTCGCGAATCTTTTTCGCTCGCCTCGACGAGAACAAACAACTGAGAATACGAGAGCGCAATGAACGTGGCTCGTTGAGGCGAAGAAAAGATAACGTTGTTGATTAGAAAATTTACAATAAAAAGATTCAACAAGTTTTGTCGTAACGACGAAAAAAAGCTGTGCAGGTGTGTGTGTACGCGCGTCATCATCATCATCATCGTCATCGTCATCAGAATATCTGCACGCGATGATTCTCGCGATCGCAGACGACGATGTTGCCGGCCGAGGTGACGGCTACGCCCTCGAGGCCCTTGAACTCGCCGTCGCCGCAGCCCCAGTTGCCGAAGGCCTTGAGGAAGGCGCCCTCGGGCGTGAAGATCTGCACGCGATTGTTGCCCGAGTCCGCCACGACGATGAAGCCCTGATCGTCGACCGCGACGCCGCGCGGAAACTTGAACTGTCCCTCGTCCGAGCCCTCGCTGCCGAAGGCCTTGAGCACCTGGCCGTTCACGTCGAATATCTGCACCCGATGATTGTTGCTGTCGCTGACGATGACGCGATTCGTGCTGCTGACCGCGATGTAGTGCGGATGCTCGAGCTGGCCGCGGCCCGAGCCGCAGCTGCCGAACTTGCCGACGAACGTGCCGTCCGACTGGAACACCTGTACCCGATGGTTCTCCTTGTCGCAGACGTAAATGAAGCCCAGTGCGTCGGTGGTGATGCCCCAGGGATAATTGAAGCGGCCGTCGGCCGAGCCCTGAAAGCCGAAGGCCCGCAGGAAGCGGCCCGACGGGTCGAACACTTGTATACGGTGATTGTAGCGGTCGGCTATGATGAACTGGCCGATTCGGTTCACGGCCACGCCGGCCAAACAATCGAATTCGCCCTCCGCGCTGCCATACGAACCGAACTCCCTCACAAAGTTGCCTTTGCCGTCGAAGACCTGAAAAAAACAATGTGAGTATAAAGAAGAGGTGCAGAGTCATCGTACGTTATTGCAGGCATGTACTCACTTGAACGCGATGGTTCGAGCTGTCGGCCACGACGATGGAGTTGTCGGGGCCGACCGCGAGACCTCTCGGCCACGTAAAACATCCGGCCTCGCTCCCCCGCATCCCAAATTTAAACAGCTGCCGTTGCTTCAGCAGGTACTTCCCCCTGTGTGGTTTCAACAACAAAAAATAAACAACGCATTCTCATTATATTACATAGTTGAAAAAAGCCAAAAGGATCGGGTGTATAAAAAAAAAAATTTTTTTTTTTTTTCTTTTCGAAAATACATCAAAGTGGGAAAAGCTTTGCACGCGCGCAACCGTCAAATATGAACGCGAGGCAGCGGCGGCAGAGCTGCTTTCCCCGGAGCTATAGTCGTCGTCGTCGTCGGAGCTGCAGAAATTTTGGCACCGAGCCCGCGATCCAAAAAGGTCTCTCTTTCACTCCTATCGGATGAAGAACGAGAGAAAATAAGAAAGAGAGAGAGAGAATCGCAGAAAAAAGGCTCTGACGTCATCGTGTCTCTGTACTACTTCAACGCGCGCGCGGGTACTGGTATACACTTTTTTTCCTCTCTCTTATACCATACTCCTCTCGACGTAGCGCGTAAGCTGCACGTTGAGCGGTGGCGGCGGCGGAGGGAAAACGAAGAGTTTATTTCGTGCTATCTAAGCAGAAATCCATTTGGCTCGGCGAATAGTCTTTACGTCAAGATTAGATTTCAGATTTGATATTTGCTTCTACAATACGCCGAATTCTCATAACCGCCGTGCTGTGCTGTGCCGCTACCTATATACCCGCGCGCACGAAAAATCACATGTTTTTTCGTGTCTGCGGCGTGACGTCTCGTTCCCTATTTTTCATTTTTATAATCGCCGCGTCGTTCGGAAATCATTTTGTCACGCGCGTTCGATGCATATTTGTTATTTTTTTATTTATTTTTCTCCAATAATGTAAACAAAAAAAAAAAAGATCGTGCTCACCTAGTGGAGGAACCTGCTGCCGCGGGTATAGCGGGAGCTGCTGTAGGGGACGTGGGGGAGCCTGACGGGTTTTTTTGATCGTCGTCAGAAGATTCGAAGGAGGCTTGTCCTGCGTTGTGTCTCAGAGGTAGCCCTAAGGATAGTCTTCGTGAGGCCGAACTTGCGCTGCTGCTACAAAAAAAAATTCATATTTTTCACGTGAGCATGATGGTTGTCTCTTACCCCGACATTGGGATGTTTTTTTTTTAATTTACAGCGGTACACACCTTTACGTAATATGTTAAAGTAAAATAAAAATGAAATACTTAAAGTTATTATTATCAAACTATATTTACAACTAATATATACACATGACAATTATACACGCATTATTCAATTGTAAAATCTAAATTATATGCATGGAGATCTTTATCGCGATATTTACAGGTAGGCATTCGTGCTCACAAGCTGCGGGGCAAAATTATTTTTGCTGCATTTCATTTCTTTGCTATTGCTATTTTAGAACAATTATTCAGTCGAAGTTTTTCATTACTTCTTTGAATGGAGGGTATAAGGGGATTACAGCACAAGGTTGCAGCAATTAAAAATTGCAATGATCAATAAAGCTTTCGTGTCTCAAATGCAATAAATCTGTAAACGGGGATTTTTGGGGGGTCAGATTCTTACCCCACGTGATATTTGTTTTCATTCAATGAATTAGATGCACCATTGAGTTTATCTCCCAATCGTCTAGAAAAAAATAAAAACTCATTTTTGGTATCTTTCATATGACTGCAAGGAGCATATTAAATGTCAATGGAAAGATTATTCAATTTTTCTACATATGATCACTGTTTTTAGTTTAAAAAACCTCGATGAGTATTAAATACACACGACGAATCGACATATTTATATCATTTTAGTTTGAAAGGGGATGAACATATTTTTTTTTATAAAATGAAAATTAAAACGATTATTACAAAAATGACTATTATTTGTCAGTTGAACATTTTCTCAATAATTTCGAAATGTATCTAAAAATGATGGGATTTTAAGTGCACTTCTAATCTACCCAAAAATCATGCACCTTTATCATCAATTATATACAAGTTGAAGGTGGCCCTTTCAAGAGAAAAGCAACCTTATGGTTAACTACAACAGGTAAGATGTTCAATGTTGATGAAAAAAATCATTATTATGGTAGGAACTTCGGAAAAAAATCATTTTTCATCACTGACATACAAGAGGGAATTTTTCTTACCCGCCCACACGATACTTATTTTCTTTCAATAAATTAGATAAGGCACTGATTTTATCTTCCACGCGTCTAAAAACGAAATAAAAATGTGTTTTAGTTCAATTTGCGGACGTTTTGAGCCGCTTTGAAAAAAGCAAAATTCAATACATAGTTTGATTGTTCAACAAAAAATGCTTAAAAAATCGTCGTGAAGTAGAAATGTTGTTTTAATTGGTATAAGTATTCTGTTGTTATTGCGTTTCGTTCGTATATAAATAGTTTGTTATTTCTTTTAAACAATTTCACTGAAATGACATCAGAAACTGATTTGAATGTTGATTATGTATGATTTTTTTACATTTTAAAAATATTAATAAAATTACGATGATTAATGAAAAAATAAATCTATGTTTGCAGTCTATTTACATACAACTGCGATTCAATTTATTACCATTTATAATTTAGTCAAAAGTAAAAAGCTAATGCTGTTTTTTTTAAGCAGTAATTTTTTTTTTAATGCTTGCGTTGAGTTAAGAAAATTTGATTATATTTTTCAGAATTACTTCTAATCTGACTCAAATATTAGTAATTGTGTTAAAACGAAGTTAAACAAATTAGAAAAAAGTATTTGTAGCATAATTAAATTACTGCGAATATTCTTGTCAAAATTTATTTCGAATACAACTTTAATAGGATAACAATTGACTTATACTTCAACAACATGAGTTTGAGTTGTCAGATTTACAGTGGAAATTGTTTTTTTATAAACATCATGCTTGATCACAGTATTGAACTTGAACGGTGTCTTACGATAATCAATATCTATAGCGTCTGAAAAAAGGGATAAAAATACTAGGTTAGATTCGCTACAAATGATGAATCATTGAGAATTTGTACTAAGATTATACGACATTCGATTTTATCCTAGATTCAATAAATAATCGTGTAACAATTACTACATGATAAAACGATAAGTCAGATTCGGAAGTATACAATTGTATATATACTCTTTTAATTAAAACGGATTTCAGTCTAAAATAGAAATTAAGATCAGACTCAGTTTTGGTCTAAATATATCTGGATTAAAGGTAGAAATTTGGTTTCACTTTGCTACCCATTGTAGAAATGCATAACATTTTATGGCTATTTTTTAGAAAAAGAAGTTTCATGGTCATTGAGACTAAATATCATAAACTTACAAAAATTAAACGTCTTTCCAACATTTAATGTCCATAATTTTCCACGTTTTTTCAATGACATGATATGAACATACCAGTAATAGATCATATCATCATACCTGTGCTTGATTTATACATTTATTTTTACTTTGCAACTTGCAGATTTAAAAATAAAAATTTTTGCCATCTAGTGGTGAAGGCTTGAAGTAATATTATCGTATTTGAAGTGGTTGGAAATTAGATCATTTAAAATGTGCTTAATATATGCAACATCATTGTAGCAGAAAACTTGCCAAAAATATGTCAAATAATGTTTTTAAAAAATTTAGAGTAGTGATTATTTAGTTATTAGGCCATTTTTAATGTTGAGCACTTCTACTAGAGTAGTTTTCCTCTTTCTCAATAAATTAATAATTATTATCTAAACCATACAAAATTTAATTCTTATTATTATAATAAATAGATCTTTCCTTGAACGAAGAAAAGAGAAGAAAAAAATTAAAACCATACCCCGACCTTTAATTCAACTATGCTTGAGACACAAAAACTAACTCCAATTTATCTAGGTAGTGTAGTTTTGATTGAGTAACAGGGTGAATCGTATTATTGTATAATGCTCTGCTTCGCTGTCGCATAAAGTACTATCAAAATTTGCGTATTTCAGGATCAAAGTATACCGTATATACATTTTATAAAATTGTCAGTATAGAAGACGAGAGAGAGAAAAGTCTCGTCGCGGTACGTTACCTTGACGATGGCATGGACGAGGCTGTCGAGGGCGGTTCTTTGTCTTTGGCGGAGGAGCGGTTACCGTACTTGTTTTTGAGATATCTGGCCCATGAGCTGAGCGCGGCGCCGTCTTTCTCGGCGCCGGGACGATCGCGATCTGGACTGGCCTCCCGCGACTTGAGCGCATGGGTGCTGCGCGACCTCGCCAGCTCCGAGCCCACGCCGTACTTGGCCGCCAGATAGGCGTTCGGGGACTGGGTCGTCGGCGAGGGCGGGTCCTCCTCTATGTCCAGGTCCTCGCCACCGAAGTTGTGGCTGCTGCGCGATCTCGCCAGGCGCTGGCGCCTCTCCTTGATCGCCGCGTAGCGCGACCTCGGCGACATGCTCGAGTCCTGCTGGTTGCTGGCGCCGCTGCTGCTGCTCAGGTCCAGCGGCTCCGGGATTTCGCGATCGTGTCTGCTGCTGAGATTGCTGCTCGGTTGATTGTTGCGAGAATCCGTCGAGTTGTTGCTGCTGTTCAAGGCCGCTTGAGATCTGCTCTTGTTCAGAAATCTGAAATATTGCCAAGAAAATCGGGAATTTTTCCGCGGTTATTCATTGTTGCGTGCTGCCCCCTCGAGAGGTGAATTTTCTTTTTTTTTTTTTTTTTTGGATNAGGTGAATTTTTTTTTTTTTTTTTTTTTTTGGTTTTTTTTTTGGTTCACGATGATGGTATGTGCATGATGATGACGCTGCTGCAGGCCAATCAATCGTCACATGCTTTTGTATGCCGATACTATCCCACGACGTTTTTGTGGTAGAGAGAGATTGAGATAGAAGAGAGAGTGATCTGATATGACTTTTCAACGTGATTCTTTCATTTCTTTTCGATTTACAAATCGTCCTAAAGAGCGATCGATTATTATCATTATCTCTATAATGTGCGAGAAATGCTCAATGACAGTTGGCGAGCTTTTTGTTTCAGTAAAGAAAAACAAGGAATAAATAACAAAACGTTGATCAAATTTTTTTTAACGTACATGTGTTTGCGTGGTTATGCAAACGTCACAAGCTATTTGTTTTTAGTGTCTTAATAAAGCAAGATTCTGTGAATGACAGATTTTTTTTTTTGAAGATTCGTTCGTGGTAATACATCGGTATACAGAGTAAAAGCATTATTCCATCGTAATCGGCGTTAGTGTGGATCGTTATTGATTAACAAATAAGCATTAGTTATTATTTATTATTTACTAGGCGACTGACAACGCAGTTTCGAAATTTCGTACTTAAAGGCAAAACAAGCCTAGCGCGTCATCGTTTTGGTAACTTCGTTTTCTTTTTTACGAGCAAAGAAGGTTATTTTTAATAAGCGGTGGAATCGACTGCACAAAAGAAAAAAAAAAGAGAAGAAGAGAACGGTAGAATCAAGGACGGTTTTTGTAAAGGTAAATAAATAAAGCTCGTTTAACACTGACACGTTAACTTTATTTACCAATCCAGCAAGAGAGAGAGATGGTTCAAAATGTTCATAGCAAATTTCGTCGTGTGTACAAAATATTTACGTAGCCAGTAGTTTCGGGCGTGAGCATTATATAAATGTTTTTAATATTCAGCCGAGACATTAAAATAAAATTCTAATGTACTTTGGTCGAACCGTCTTTTGAGAATGTAATTAATCTCGTTTGTAACACACAAGACTCTAGGCTCTCTTCTTAACTTTTTCTTTTATTAAACACAAACACTTTTTTAAACAAACAGATTCTAAAAAAATAAAGGAAAAAAAAACAGTCTTTCGGTAGTTTAAAGTGGTTTTGGATGTCAAATCACATAATTATTAATCAACATTTAGAAAAACATCTACAAGACTATATAGACATTATCTACGTGAATTAAACAAAATATTTACAATTTTTATTGATCGCGTTTCATCGAAGGATTTAATCAAAGCATCGAAATCACAATGAATTGATTTTCCCAAGTATAAAAATAATGTTATTGAGGATAAAGACTTTATTCAGTAATTAATCAATGGATGTCCACAAATTATTATTTAGAGTCGGCAATACAAAACGCGTGCCTTTCAAATTTTTATTTTTCTTTTTTTCTTTTTTGGATGAAACTCATCTGTTATCAATTTCATGATTGGAACGAAGTTTATAAAAAATCGTTATGTGTCTAAATCATAATGGTTGCTTGAAAAACAATAACTTATGAATCAGACAATAAAGCAGAAAAGACGAATTTCAAAAGACTGATTGGTAATAAATGATGCTATTGTGACGGATTAATATTTTGAACGATGTGAATATAAATTAAAATATGAAACTATATAGGAATTTTCAGGAATGCAATGAAATGATACATGGTAGCTGTAAATGCTTTCGTTTCAATTTAAATGCAACGTGGCCTGTCTCTCCGTTATATATAAAATACAATGCAAAAATAAAAAATTAAAAAACCCCAAGTCAATTGAAATTCGAGCTTCTATAAACAAGTTGCTAATCAAAAGAAATTGACGTTTTCTCGGTGCGAGATGTAATCAATCCGACGGCTCATAGATCTCATCGATCAATATATAAAATATATCTTCGTCTCGATTATTTGTTTTTTTCTTTTTTGTATATAATAATAATAATATCAATCACATAAACATATTGATTAGAACGCTACAACACAGAACGGAAACACAGAGTACGGTGGTTACCATTTTCATGGGTAAACTCGCGTCGTTCGTCGCGCAATCATTGTCGTCCTCGGGGCGATCGTTCCTACTAATCTTAGTAGCGCCGTCGCACAAGGACGCTGTCAGCAAAGCACCACCACCAGCATCGGCCGTCGTTACGTGATCATCGTCATCATCCCGTTCCGGCGAGTTAGCGGCGACTTCGATCATTCCGCTTGACTTTCGATCGTCGTCGTCGTCGTCGTCGTGATCGACGACAATGACCCAACCGTTTTCGCCTATGCTCCACCTGCGGCCTTCCACCGCCGCAACACCACCACCACCACCTCCGCTCAACGTCTCGACGTTATTGCGTATTTTGGTCCGGTCGTTATTATTGTTAATCTCGTTTTTTTTTGCATCGTCGTCCATCGTCCTTTTATTATTATTATTATTGTTATTACCGAAGCGCGCGTCGTCCGTGACGAGCTGATCGTCCGAGACGACCCAGCCGTTCTCGTCGAACAGCGACGCCTGATCCTTGACGAGGATGGCGGCTTTGGTGAAGGACGAGCGACTTCGGTCGCTGCTCACCGACGACGTTCTCGGCGACGACGACGACAACGCGTCGTCTACGTTATTGTCGTTGCTATTCCCCCCGTCACTATTTCTACCACCACTACTACTCTCAGTGTCATTATCATCGTTGTCACTGTGCAAAACGTTATTTTCGTTAGTTATGGTATTTGTACCTCTTTGATCCTCGCTAACAGTTTTATTGACGCTTTCGGCGTCGTCGTCACTGCTCGCGTCATCATCATCATCATCATCCTCTTCATCTTCTTCTTCTTCGCTCTCTTCTTCATCATCATCATCATTGCTGTCTTGGTCGTCTTCGTCGCTGTCGTCGTCTTCGTCGTCATCATCATCATCATCATCGCTATCATCATCATCTCGGACGACGTGCAGCAGATTCCGATCCAGCTTTCGTCTCCTTGGCCACTCATCATCATCATTATCATCGTCTTCGTTCCTCGTCTCGTCAGCGATAGTGTTATTATTGTCCTCAAGCGAGGTCCACTGTTTGCCCTCGATAAAAATTTTAACGCCGACCGACGGCCTACTACTCTCTGCTGCCGCCGCTGAACTCTCGACACTCTCGCTATTGCTATTATTATTGTCATCGTTATCGAGCCCCGCTAACTCTTCGCGACTCTGATGGGTGCTTTGTAACAGTCGATGCGCGTCGTCGCAACCGCCACTACCACTGCTGGCAGTAGTAGCGTTTAAACAATTATCATTATTACGATTACTCGTTAGATCACTGTCCACGTCGCCGTGACGATTATCATTGTTTTTTAGATCGCTAGGAACAACAACAACTGGCCTATCGCGTTGACTACTGACGCTGGACGAGGACGATGAGGACGCCGCCGCCGCCACCGCTTCCCCATCGGACAACAACAACAACCGTTCGCTTTTTTTGTTTCTATCGACATCGCTATCGCTCGCTACGTCGTCATTATCGTCGTTATCCTCGTCCGCCGTGGACGACGACGACGATTCAGAGCTACTACTACTTAATGCGTCGTTTTTATTAATTGCGTCGTTATTATCGTCGTCGTAGCGGTCCGCGTCGTCGTCGTCATCGTCTTCGTCGACGTCAACGTCGTCGTCATCATTGTCGTCACGTACGGTAGTAGTAGTAGTTAATGCCCTAGAATGAGCGTTATGATCCAGGGGATTACTGGAATTAGAAACGAAGTCGTGAATTGTGCGGTCGCTTGTTACGAACCTGCTGGTGTAGCCGCCCGGCGTCGACGTCGACGACGTGGACGAGGACGAGGGCGTCGTCGTTGATGCCGCTGCCGATGACGATGATGCCGTGGTACTACTCGCCGGCGGAGTCGTTGTCTGGGCTGGACTGCTCCTCGGAGTGCCGTACCTGCTGCTGAGAAGAAACAGACAGAAAAAAAGTTGAGGTGGCCGTTTAACGAGCCGATCTTTGGATTTTTTGGTGTTGTTGTTGTTGTCAGTTCACTCGATGTTAGTTCTGGCTCAAATTGATTGATCAATTTTCAAAGACGAGTGAAATTTTTATTTACACTCAGTGTGTCTCTGAAAGTTGCTCATATGCAAAATAATTGCTGTTGGGTAAAATGATTAATAATTAATGTGTTAAAAAATTATTAGCCAAAACAAAATTTCAAACAAAATCAAAAAAAATAAACTTCGACGATGGCAATGAAAAGAAATTAGAGTTTTTAAAAACGTGTTAAGAGACAGGAAAAGAAAAAATCGTATGAACTAATTAGACGGTAATGACTAATTAAATGCAGATTAGAAATGGAAGAAATCAATAATTAGATGTGTCAAACTCATTTCAAGCGCGCTATATTTTTTTATCACAATAGCATTTGTTGAATAATGAATCACTTATAATAATAAACAATTATTCCGCAAACTTATTTTACATAATGTCGAGTTACGAATGAGTTCGCGTATAAATAATACAATTTTTTTTTTTGTTACAGTTTTAAACTTTTTTTTCCACATCGTTATCACAATTGTTAATAATTTGCACCGAGGTGATAAGTATGTATTTATATATATGTTTACGTTTATACATTTCGTCTATATGGATCATTGATGATAATTCGTTTATTTTTTTTCTGTGCAGTTATGTTTCATTAGTTGAAAATAGTTTCTTTTTTTCCGTATATCGTTTTCGTTAACAGATAATATATATGAATTTTCATTTAATAATATAGAATTAATACTTTTTTTTTTAACAATCAATGTGCAGGTATTCACGTTTACATATTAATATAACGTATATAGTGACTTAGTATTTATCAATGTGTACTGCGATTATAGCTAAATAGGTATTATCTGGCCAATCGTTTGAATTGGCCAAGGCGTAATGTTTATGTATTATCACATACACATATACTTTGTTCGTTAATGATCCAAAAAACAACATTTATATTAAATATAATTTTCTTTTATATAGAGCTTTTTTTTCTTTTCTGGCATCACTCGTACGTCTCTAAGGATACATAGATCTATATTGCACACAATTTTCTCCTTTTTTTTTCAATCGATACTTTCGATATACAATCATTACTCTATGTTACAAGGCGTGTCAGCTTGTAATTGGTACAGAGGCAGAATAAATAAAGGCATTTCATGTAGGTAACATTTTTATTGAACATAATGATAATAAAATAAATTTCGAATTTTTTTATTTTTACACTTTGGCGACTATCAAAGTCGTGAATCATCCATGTATCCTAAAAAAGATAAATTCCTTTTTCTCGAGCTCCTTCTCGACCGTCAACATTGAAAAATATCGTAATTATCTATCGAGAAACTTCGTACCGCGACAACTTCCTAATCGTTGAAAAATCGTCACGGTTTTTTTCGTTAGATGGTATCCTTAGAGATTTGGAGTGAAGCCCATTTTTAGTAAATAGTATATTATTGGTATACATGTAGCGATTCACGCATGATTAAGTACTACTTGTCGATTCAGGACCAGCCTAATATATATATTTAATATTCATATAATATGTTTCGATTAATTATAATACTGAACAAATTAGTTTCCATTGTTAAAGGAATAACACGAATAAAATTTTTCCTAATTGTTAAGACTCGAATTAGTCTTAAAATACCTATATAGAGTTAAAATTAAAGTCATATCTTTTTCAAAACAATTACTTAAAGTGATTTTTAAAAAAAAGAACGTATAAAACAACAATTGGCATTAAAAACTATGTCAAACGGAACCAAGTTAGATTTCTTCTTTTTTTTTATAAAAATTAGTTAATAGCGTCTCTCTTTTTCGTCGGACAAAATACTATTTATATGCGCTTGCCGTTGTATCGTTTAAATATAAACGAGAGATGATGATTCACAATGTCTCCTAGTCATATTACTAAAAAGCATCTTGGTATTTTATGCACGTGGAAATATATGCAGCACAGATATTTCTTTTTCTGTTTTTTCTTTTTCATCGATTTTTTAAAAAAAGGTACATCTGATTTCTAAAAAGAGCACCACCAAGAGAGTAGTTTTGTTTTAGACCATAGGTTCGAGTGGGAAAAAATTCGCATCTTCCCACTTATTTATAATTTACAATCACAATGTAGTAAAAATCATAGTAAGTTTCTTTTTTTCGACGATTTCTGTCCAGTCTGCAGTATCACGTTATACTTTGGTCGATACTTTTTAAGTAATATACACCTGGATCCACGTTCGACATGCGTCTGCTTTTTTCTTCCTCTCTCTCCCACATGTAAATATATCATATAGATTTGATGCATGTAAAATGCAATTCTGTGGCATGTAACATAATCTAGTGTTAAACATCGTATCAAACGTTGTTAATTAGCTTACAAATTAATTCGATTAATGTAATATATGTACGCTTTTATATTAGTAATATTTAGCGCGCGCGCGTGTATATATATAATTCATATCTATATATAATTTATATATCTATAATATAATTTTTATAATATATATAATTTCACGTAATGAATGAAAAGATTTTTCGATCGATTTTCACGCACTTTGTTAATATATTTCAGGTTCCGAGGGTTATTTATTGGCAGTTTCATTTTGTACTGTTTAGTTCAAAAGCGCGCACGATCGAGAGCTTGCGGAAAAAGATCGCTTGTAATCGTGTGGTTAATTTCGTATACGTCTTTACAAGCGATCCTTTCCCTTCACTCCGTCGTGCAATTATGAATTTCAATAAATAAATTTGGTTAGGTTCTTCTTTCGTCTTTTTTGTTATCTATGAATTAGAGCGTGTTCCAGCACAAGAAACGTTAAGTATATATATAGTTGTGTTAATCGTTATGTATAAGCTCGAAATTCGGATCAACCGATTTTCAGGACCAAAAAAAAAAACAAAACAACAAAACACCCAAGCAATCACAACATCAAACAACAACACCGCACACACGGACAATCGGGGTGCGCGCGAGCAGCGAAAGTAATCAGCCAAAGAGAGTCTCGCAAACGCCAATGGCAACTCTGCCGGCGGTTTTCTTAAAGGCCTTCTTTCGGGCTTGGAAAATTCGCTTGGACTCTAGTTTGCGATTAGTCTCGTTCTCGCGCGCGGCCTGGGCGTCGTCCAGAGCCGCCGGCGACGACGACAATAACAATTCGTTGCTGTCGTTCTGCGCATCTGCCGCTGATGCTTGCCTCGTGCTCGGCGAGTCTTCCTTGCTGCCGCGCCTGGCCTCGGCGCTGCGGGCCAGCAGAGGCCCTATGTCGGTGCGCGACATGGCTGACTCGTTGCGTTTGTAGCCACCACCGCCTGTACCGCTGGTACTCAGTGGCGACGAGGGTACGGACGATCTCGTTGGAGTCGCCGGCGTAGCCTCTGGCTCGGAATCCTCCTCGCTCTCGGACTCGGTCTCCTCGGACGAGCTGCTCGTCTCCTCGTCGTCGTCGTCCTCCTCCTCCTCGCTGCGGCTCTTCGACACCGCTGCCGGTGTCGATGTCAGTGAGCTACTGCCGTTGCTGCTGCTGCTAGTTTTGCTTTCTGGAGTGGTTGTGGTCGACGGCGTGGGTGTCGTCGTCCGATTACCTGGACGCAAACAGAAGTCAAATGCCAATGTAGCTCGCCGATCTCGTGTGTGCCGTTCTCTCACCCAACGGTATTATCGTTATTCATTTCTTTCGATTGCGTCATCGAAAAAATAATTTGTACAAAAAGATAAAAAAGCTCGCGTTGAGCGTGTGATATACCGTAAAACGAAAATCCTTGAAACCGCGCGCACGTGGTGGGGTCTTTTACGCGTTGTGCAACGCGAAGAAAGCGCGAGCTTTCGACAAAAAAAGCTCGAGATTTTTAAGTATGGAAACGGGCGGTATCGGTTGGTATTACTCAAAAGTTTTCCATGTGCTCATCTTTCTATTTTTATCGTATTTATAATTTCGTTACGATCGTAGTCGAAATAATGTTGAAACAAAAAAAAAATTGTACAAATCGCCTACCTTTGTCGATGCCGCATGATAATACTCCTTCGTTTTTTTAATAATGATATATATTTTCAAGTGAAAAAAAAATTCACACACGGAAAAATGCACGCAGACGTAATTTACCTAGAAATCGGCTCTGGAACGGTCTCGGTGTAGTAGCGGTGGTAGCAGCGCTACTCGTCACCGGTGACGAGCGATTCGAGCCCAACGATCCGGCTGTCGCGCTACTGCTGCTCGTGTTCTGGGGCGATCTCGCCAGGAACTTTTGTTTCATTTCCTCGGTGGTGAAGGGCGCGCCGGTGCTCCTGATGCTCGAGCCACCGCCGCCGGCGCTCTCGGTGCTGCCCGTCGACTCGGACGAGTTGCTGCGTCCGCCAGCGACGCCGCCGGTACCACTGCCATGCAACTCGCTCGATGTTTTTCGGCTGTAGCACACAAGTGTAAAAGTCAGTATATACAAACAGAAAGGAAAAAAAACAGAGTCTGGGGATCGATTGTTTGCTCGAAGCAAACGAAAAGCACATGCTGCTCTTTGTATCGTGTGCGTCTACTCTCGTGGAGAGTGGGGAGAGGAGCTCGCTCGCTCGCTCGACGACGATGATTACCTCGAAGGGGTCTTTCTGCTGCTGCTGCTACTCGTCTCCTCGGCCAATTCGGTGTCGCGCTCCCGGCTGGTCGTACGCCTGGCGGCCGGACTCGTGCTGGTGCTCGTCGGTGTCGCTGCTCGCCTCTCCTGCTCGGCCAAGCTCTCTTGGACGGCTGCTGCTGTTGCCGCTGGTGTGGGTTGACGCGGCTCACCCGGCGCGTTCTTGTTCAGCTTCTTGATGCGCGATATCTCGTCGTCCTCGCTCACTTGGCGCCCGACGAACGGCGTGCTGCTCTTGTTGCGTCCCTGTCCCGGCTGAATCTGAGCAAATTAGAGAAAACGAGTCGTGGCGTTATAACATCGTGCGCTAACTTTTACCGTGTTTACTTTTCTATGGCGGGGGAGGGAGGGAGGGAGAGAAAGACTAGAGCTAAGTGGTTTTCGGTCGTGGCCTTGACACACTCGACAAAAGCTAGACGAGAAATGTGCGGGCTATATTTCATTTTTCTCTTTCTTTTGGGGGGATCTCTGCTTCTCTCTGTGTACCTGTTGAAAAGTATGTATATGGGGAAATAAGCGGTAGCGATCGTAAACTGAATCATGCAAAAGAAAAAAAAATTATTTAATAATTAAAAATTTCATGTATTTATTTTTCAATAAAAAAGCTATGTTTATTAATGCGATTGATTTTGTTTAACAATGATAATGAATCAATGGTAGTTATTATTTATCGGTTGCCCTGGCACAAGCGACGAAAATCCAGCACATGAAACAGATACCGAGATAATTCGGCGTCAAGCTCTTTCCGAGGGCACGCACGAATTTCTTCAGTGTCTCGGTGTTTGGCTGTAAACAACCGCGTTTTTAACTCGAGTATATACAGCCCGATGCAGAGCGCAAAGAAAAGTTATATTCAAACAAGAAAATAAATAAACGCTAACCATAGCGATAATCTGGAGTTATAATTTACCTGTTGTTTGGGCTGATTAGCCGCCGCCGCGGCAGCCGCTTGCTGCTGCGTTGTCTGCTGCTCGCTCTTCTTGCGCTTGCCGGCGCGCTCGCATTCGTTGAGTTTCTTGATGACTCTGGGCGAGTCGGTCAAGCGGAATATGCCGGAGAGCGGGCCGCGCGAGGCGTCCTCGGTGTCGAGCACGCGCTCCCGATGCTCCCTCGCCGAGTGATGATGATGATGATCCCCTCCACCGCTGTTGGGCGCGTTAAAGCGCACCGACGTGCCGGAGCGGCCCGAGGTCGTGCTCGTGTTCTGGCCGCCGCTGCCGTCGCCGCCGTCCGAGTCGTCGCCTTCCCGATTGCGCATAAAGCGCGACCGGTAGCGGGAACGCGACCGAGGCGCTTCGTACTCCGGGGTGTCGTATCTACAGTATTGGGAGGAGGGAGTGGTAAGGAAAATAAGAAAGGGAATGGAAGAAGAAAGAAAAGATGAGCAATAAGAGAGAGTGCAAGATGATGATTCGCGGCTCGCTGTGTACGATAATGTATTTTTGGAGCTTTCGTTGCGGGTCAAGGCTGTGTATATACGCGGAGATGCCATTACACACACACACACACATAGCACATGTTGTATAGTCAAGCTGCTGCTGCTGCCCGAAATCTATTGATTTTGCACGCTTCTCCGTGTTTATATGAAAAAAAAAGCTCTGGCGAAATCGCGCATATAAACTTAGAGCCAGCCGCGTGCCGATCGCGTAAATTTAGAGTCGCAGCGTGTGTGGCGCTGCCGCTGCTGTGTCTGTCCGTCCATCAAATTGGGCAAAGTTGCGCGCTAGGCGCGTATTTACACATCGATACGGCGCGCGGGTGGGTGTCAAAATCAATTATTTCACATTTCTCTCTATCCGCACGTCTGCCTGCTTTTTTTCCCCCACACACGCGCGCGCATTGCTCAAAAGAGAAAGAGAGACAGGCGCAGACATAATTTAACGTTTATTAAATTTTCTCGATTAGCTTATTCGCGCGCCGAGGACGCGTCGGTTCGGTACAGTTCCCGCGTGTATTTACGTAGGCGCGTATACGTGCAATTTACCTAACTCAAAGTGGAGCAAACTCGAGTTCCTCGTTACGATACATTATATATTATAGATGTATTCGGCGAGCAGTAACGAGACGACTAGATCCGATATACACACGAGTAATAGCTGATATATTTGCCGAGTGCCAAATTTGAGCGGTATAATCAATTCGACATATGGTCTTGACGATTGTATAATTTAAAGTAATTTGTACCGTAGTCTAACGAGGCATCGAAAGAAAATATTATCTTTTAGTCATAGACTCTTATATTAAAGCTCCCAGATAAGTGTTCGAGCTTTCGCCCGTAATTTCATCACTCAATGTAAACAAAGTACAGCAGCTGGATGTATACATAGACCCTATAATTAAATTATACGTATGACGCAATTTTAATTTTTTAATTCGTCATACGAAACTTATTTACCGCCCCTATTTTATCATTAATCCCTTACACTACCTTGCTCGAGAACTACGTGCAATTGTTAAAATCTCTCTCTCATACAACGCATATACATGTGTGCTTGAATGCAGCCCTGCACTTGATCGCTCGTACACATAATCTCTCTCTGCAAATTCAAGGTAAGGTAAAAGCGTTCAGGTGCGCGCTTGTACACAAAGGCATGCAATAAGTGACAAATGCATAGGCGAGGTGAAGCGCGACTAACGAGATCGCATTTATTTCTCGCTAACTCGGTGCCGTGCAAAAAGCTCCCACCCTCGTGACATTCGACGTGTTGCTGCCTGCCTGCCTGTGTACGTACTACAGCTCGTACGAAGGTGGCCGCGGATTAGGGCCAGCATCGATTTTACTGCCGCCGCAGCACCAAAGTCAACGCCAATTACAATAATACATCGAGAGATTTGCGTGCGCGTACTTATATCATACGAATCGTCGTGTGTTTTTCTTTTCTTTTTTTGCTTTTCGTGATCGAGTCGGAAAAATCCGAACGTAGATCGCGAAGAGAGAGAGAGAGAGAGAGAGCACGTAAAATAAAAAAAAGGTATATAAAACGCGGAAGTGGCGCGCTGGCTGGATGGATGAAGTCGAGCTTTCTGCAAGCTCGGTCTGTACTGCGCAAGGTTCAAGCAACCGTGCTGTGGTGGCGGCGGCTGCGTGTATATATTGATCCGCGCGCGCGCGCGCCGAGGCATCATAACACAACACAACGACGGTGGTATTGCTCTACATATGTATATACCCTCCCCACGCACACACATACACACATATCGAACTCGATAAAACGCCTTTTTATCTCTCTATATTTATTGTTATCTCTATGTACTAAGCAGCAGCAGCCTCGACGCATCAACGCGATTGAAACACACTACCGCTGCTCGCACTCGCAGGTGTATCCAACAAAACTATCTCTCGTCTCTACGATTAATAAAAAAAGAGTTTGTTGATGTACTCACTCGTAGTCGGGTACGTAGCGGTTCCTGCCATGGGAGCGGTCGTCGTCCTGCTGGCTGCGGTACTGCGAGGCCAGCCGATGGTCGGACTTGCTGCGCATGAGCCCCGGCGAGCCGCCGCTGCCTGGCACCGTGAGGCTGCTCGAGCCGCCGACACCGCCGCCACCGACGCCGCCCAGCAGCGCCGATGTATTGCCCTCGGGCTTGATGTTGAGCTCGCCGTAGCCGGCTACGTGCAGCACCAGCTGATTCGGCTCGTGCGTCATGACGAAGCGCATGCGGCGCGTGTAGTCGCCGGCCTCGTACTCGAAATTCCTGTAAAGAGAATAACGATGATGATAATAATGATGATAATGTGGCGAGTGCGAAATTTGCAGAGAGGGTTTTCGATGAATGAATACGATGCAGTATAGGGGCGCGAGCGCGGTAATCCGATCGCCCGAATTATATAGGGGCTTAATCAACGCGCGCGAGGCTTATCTGGGCCATGGGTTCGGTATGTGTTTCTCTGTCTCTCTGGGTCAAGGAGCTGATGCTGCTTCCAACGTTTCGCATTTCACCGACAGAGAGAGAGAGAAATTCAACGCGTGAGATTAGCGCGACGACGTATATTCTTGCAGGGGGCATGGATTCTGCAGCAGCAGCAGCCCCCCTATATACGTAGCGTGTCTAACACACATTTCTTTCGAGTATAAATTAGGTCGAACGTTAAGGCGGGGGCGGGCTATTAATGACAATTTTATGTATATGACTGTGTATGTATAATCGTTAAACGTTTTCGTCACCCATTTTATTAGACGATTTAAAAGAAGAAGAAGAAGAAGAAAAGTTATAGGTGTACGCGATATATACATAGAATTTATGCGATTCTGTACCGGTGGGCTGTTGGCGCGCGCGTGAGTTTATCTTTATAGGCGCGTTGCATTAAGCTCTGTATACACGAGCTTCGCGTTTTATTCCTTTCGCTCGATCCCTTATAATTATAAAAAGCTCGTCTCGATTGTTGCGTTCGATTAAAATAACCGATTTAACAATAATTTGGATCTGAAAATATTCCGATCGTAAATTGTTTCCTCGAAAGTAGATACTGCTAAATCGGGCTAGGGATACATCGATCGAGCGCGAGCATTTTTCCTCTCGCAAGCTCCTCTCTCTAAGTGCATCGCGCGCGATCGAAAGCTTTTATCCGAGAAATAGAGCGAGTGAGTGGCGGCAATTAAACGTACGTATACACGAAACGCGATCCATTCGAGGGTAAATGTGTACGTGTGTGTATCGAGCTGACTTATATACCTGATGAACTCGAGGGTCCTCAAAAACAGCTCCTTGGTGTCCAGCAGCTCGTTGTCGTCCCAGGGCACGTTCTCGTTGATGTGCTGATCGGCCAGGTCGCAATTGCTCTGTATGTTGGCGATCTCCTGCTCGAGATTCTCCTTCAGGTGTATCAGGCTCTTCAGTTCCTGGCCCAAGTAACGATCGATCTCGCACCTCAGCACCTCGGTGCGGTCTTTGAGGGCCTTGTTCAGCCTGCGATAGATCTCGTCGACCTCCTCGCTGACCGACGCCGCGTTCGTCTGCAGCGCCACCGTGTTCTTTTCCACCTGGGCCAAGGTCTCCTGCAGTCTGTGCAATGCTCGTCGAACCTATGTATAGTAAAAAGAAACAGCGATGATAAAAACGTTACATCAACTTAATTGACGTGTTTACCGAGAAATTACGATAGCCTTTTAACCTCGCGCGCGTGCATGTGTGCGCGAGTGTGCTTTTATCTTTTCAACCCTTGAAAGTGTACGCGGCAAAGCAAACAAACTAAAGGCACGTCCGTCTGTCCGTCTGTCTTTTTTTCTCGCGATTGTCTGCGCGCGAGTCGTAACGGAGAAAATTCGATATTATTCAATTTTTCGATAATGTAAACTCGGAGATTTTTTTTTTCCATTATCTCGCCGGATTTTTCATTGAACTTATATACGAGATGACGAGGAAAAAAAAATCAATATAAAACCGTGAAGTACGAAAACGCAGAATTGGAAAAAAAGAGAGAAGCGTTCTCGATCTCGCAAAGATCGCGAGATTCGACCCTTTTTTTTTTATTAACATTCTCAGTTGAGAATTGACTTGTAGGAAATGGTCGTCCTCGTCGTCGTCGTCTTCGTCGTTGACAATGGTACCGAGAGTATTTTCAATACCCCTCCGATCGTATAATATACAACGTACTTTGAAAAATATTAATTTACGAGCTATATGGGCGCGCGCGCGCGTTATCAAGCTGTGCAGGGCGCGCAATCGACGTCGATATCCGGAACGTCATCGAGAGATACCGAGAAGGATTTTTATTCAAATAAAAAAATCCAACTTTTCGAATGATTCTTTATTTCGCGTTCTATTTTCGCGACTTTGTAAAGAAAACGAGCTATAGCTGGGGCGAGTTGAATGAAAATTTCCTCGCAGTAACTGCAATAAACTCGTAAGATGTAACTCGATTTAAATTAATATCTTCTTCGAGGATGTACGGTGAATAAAAGGGAGCTTTTTACATTTACATGCGTATGAAAATACGAGCGAGAAAATAATCTGAAAGGGAACGTCGACGCGCGAAGGAGTGTATAGGGCTTGAAGTTAGGAGGTATAGAAAAAAGCGAAACCATTCAAAACGGTTCGGATGACATAAACAACTTGTCACAGAAAATTCCAAGTCCCTAACCTCTGCCAATTTTTCGCTTCAAAATTATGTGTTTTTAAATAAAATATAAACAGAAAATAATAATAACAACAATGGCCAAGTAAGCTTGATTTTTTCCTCCTTCACGCATCTCTATCTAACTCTATCGAACAGCTTTATATCTGATCAAATTCAAAACCCTTGCCCCATTATGAATCAAAAGCAAAGCTCAATTCGCCGAAGAATGTCTTAAGCTGCACAATACGCTCCGCTCTCTGCATTGTTCGCCCGACTTGGTTCTCGACATCAAGGTATTTCGATTGATTTTTATTTTTTTTGTCTTTCAAAAAGGCAATGAAAAACCGAGCAAATTGTCATGCACGAAATTTTCTCGTCCTCTCTCTCTTTCGCACACAAAACACTACATATGTACAATTTTACGTGTGTGTAAAACCAAAGTTATCCGCTTTTGCGCAAGACTGGGCAGACGCTCTCGCTAAGAAGGATAATCTTGAACCTCGGCCGGAAAATTGTTACGGGGAGAATCTGTACGTGGGAAGCTGCGGACCCGGCCAGTGGTGCGCGCCCCAAGTCGCGGTCCACAGTTGGTCAGTAAAGCAGACGCAGATTTTTCATTAATTTTCCACGTCATCGTCTTCATCGCGATTAATTGCATATAGGTACGGAGAAAATCGTCAATACGATTTCGCCGCGGGAGACAGTGCCGGCGGCCAAGAGCAGCTCGAGGCCTGTAAAAATTTCACCCAACTCGTCTGGAAGTCGAGCTGCAAGCTCGGGGTCGGGGTGGCGGTGACGGCCGAGGGCAAGACCTACGTCGTCTGCAATTACGATCCGAGGGGCAACGTCGCCGGCCAGTACGCCGAGAACGTTACAGTCGCTGCGCTACAAGAGGTACGTATTACAATCTCGGGATAACGATAAAGTTTCCGAGCGAGCGATAGACACTCTCGACGCGAGAGAAGAAAAGCGATACTCGAGGAAAAGCACACGCCTGCATTATATGTATATATCGTATATAACGCAGAGAGGATATAATGTATGAAATTTTAAACGCGCCGTTATCTCGACTCGACGTTATAATAATTTTCAAGAAGGCAACGGACGACGGCTGGGGGTATATAACAGCTTGAAAAGCTCTTTTCCGCGCGTCGATTCTAATTATGGATGCTCTCTCTCTCTTATAAGCACCGAAGAGTTTGCTGTACAAAAAATCGTTTCATTAGCGCGCCGTATACTCGAGTCTCACGAAACAAAGAGTCGTTTTTATATTATGTATATTGCAGCGCACCTCGTGCTTACGCGCGTGTGTGTATAAGATGCGGCGCGCAAGTTGCTGCTGCTACCGGCTCTATACACGGCACAATTTAATAGCTATTTATAAGTCTCGTCGTTCGTCGTCGTGCGCATAGTCGCCTATGTTTTTTTCATCTCTTAATTCTCCCCCCGCCGCCGTAAAGTCTGTAACGTTGTAAAACTTACCTGCGAGTTTATGCTGACGATGTTTTTACGCAGTATCTTGACGTGCTCGTCCTTGCACTCGGGGCAGCACTTTTTCTCGCAGTGGGCGCAGGTGTTGCAGTAGCTCTTCTCCGAGCAGACGCTGCAGCGCTCCATGATCTGGCCCGAGGTGGGATCGGGCAGCTCGCCCGTGATCTCGATGTGCAGCTCGAGGAAGCGCTGCAGCGTCACGTTGGTCGGGAAGGCTTGGACGCCCTTTGATTAATTAAGAAAAACAAAAAGCATGTATGAAAAAATGAGCAAAGTAGAATCGCGCGCCCGAGCCATTGATGATAAACTTACTTGGTAGGGTATGCGATGTTCCGCGCGACATTCCGGACATTTGACCTGTCGACGCACGTAATCGACCAGCCCGTCCATGCACGGCTCCATGCAGAAGCTGTGTTGGCATGGTAACAATTTTGGGTTTCTGTAGCGATCCAAGCAGATGGCACACGTCAGCAGTTGCTCGAACTGCTCCATCCTCTATATCTGTGGATTATCACGAAAATCGATTCGATCATCAACAAAGCTGGCTTACGATACATATTTTATATCATATTGTACAAAAAATCGTTCGTTTAATAATCTATTATGATTCGCAAAGCTCATTATAGATTATATAAAATTCATAATTTTTTTCGGTAAATAAATTGACGGCACTGGAAAAACTTTGGATTTCTGAAATTCGAGCAGCGCGTGAATATTTTGGATTCGATCAATCTGCGTTAAACAGACAGTCGCCTTCGAAATAGATACTAATTAATCATAATGATAATGAATGGGTATAACTGTACTAACATTGGGAGTAAAGGAAAATTACTGCGCACCCAAGTAGTTCGCGTACAGCGAGAATAAGAACCGACATTATCAAAGCTGAATCTTTGTCAATGCCGTATATTCTTGAAAATAAGTTCACTCGACTACCTCAAAAAATCGGAATATCTCGTACGGTGAAAAATATTCGTAATAAAAATAAATACGAGGTTCCCAACGCGTTTACAAGAAAAATAAAATATATCGTCGCTGTGTAAGTACTCTCTTACATTTTCGAATTACCGAGTGCACTCGACAAACATATCATTGCCACCTCTTTTGTGATTCGATACGCCAACGCGTGAAATATTTATCGACCTTTTTTTTGGGTTGGTTGCAGAAAAAAGATGCCACTCACGAAAGTAAATATATCGAGGAAGTAAAGAATCGAGCGACATTGCAGCTATTTTACCATCTGGTTGGAGTGTATAAATGTATTTTAAAAATCGTTCGGCCTTGCTCTTCGAAACGGTGTGAAAATCCTCGGGCCGATCCGAGCAAAATGAGAGAGAGAGAGAGAGAGAGAGAGAGAGAGAAATTTCGCAATACACGCGCTCCGTGAAACGAGATCTTGACAAATATTTCACGAATAATAAAATGTGCTCAAAAGCTCGAGAATACCTATCTCGCGGTTATATTATAGGGATTATAATGTATATTTATGTAGGTCTCGTGGCCCCCACACAAAAATCATCAACGTGCGGCGGTGTAGTGATTTTTCTCTCTTTCCCCTCAAAAATTGCGAACTTTTTGACTTTTAGTACCGGTACATTTCGTAAATTGAACGTTTCAATTTGAAATATTCGTCTGACTTTGATGATGCGTGTATTTAAATAGCGAGACGTAACTTTTGATTAGGTCAAATAATCGTCGTCGCTTCGGTGGAGACGCTCGATAGTAATGATTGCTCAATGATCGAAAAATGACCTTATAAAAGTTTTAAAATACATTTACAATTTTCATAAAAATTAAGTAACAAATATTAAGCAAATTTTAAATGACTTGAAAATGACAATTTAAGCGTTTTAAAAAAATTTAGTCTGGGTTTCAATTACTTGAAACACAATAATGCTAGTTTGAGCCTCCACCACCAGATGGCGAGTACCGTTGTTTCTAAATCTGCTAGTGATAAAGTAACAAAAATTGTATAAGTTCAAGCACTTTGAAGCTTTCCGGATTGATCCAAGTACTAAGCAAACACTGGTTAAACCAATTAGATATTGTATACGGCTAGTGGTAACATGGGCGCCTGAACTGCTTAAAAAATATGTAAAAATTTTAAGTCGTGCTGCGCATGCATTTGTATCTACCTCCGCAACAAAGAAATATTATAAAACTATAAAACTTTCTAGACGGCTCAAGTTTGATGAAACTGAGTCTCGCGATAACGAGATGCTCCACTAAGGCAGAACTCGCATGTCATTTTTTAATTACAAGTCTGAAATAACATTTTATACATCGGTCGAGCGAGGCAAAAGGAAAAAAAAGAGCGAGTGCCGCAATGTACACCAAAAATTCATATATAATATAAATTCAATCGTATTTAGAGCCAATTTCGACCGCTAGATGGCGGCGAGTATCTTTATTGGTAAATCTGCAAGTGGCAAAGCTGAAGTAATGGCATAAGTCAAAAGACAATTTTGAAAAGATAGTTTCTTACAATCGTAGTTACTTTATCGACGTACAAAAAACGTAAATCGACATGTTTTGCTGACCAAAGCCATCGTTGACATTTGCTTCTTAGATTACCTACCATCAAATATTATGCATCGAATCAAATTCTCTCCCTCTCTCTTTCTCTGTATCTAGTCGAGCTTACGGGTGTTTGTCCGAGTGGCAAGATTCTCCGCGTTTTTACTCTGTGCTGTACCGAGCATCAGCAGCAGCAGCAGCAGCAGCAGAAGCTTTTGCGTATACATACGATATAGCCGCGAGCGCGATACACGCGTGTGTCAGGGTGGGATAAAGCGCGATGTTTACCTAAACACTCGCCTTCGGTTTTATTTTAATCCTCTTTCCGTCTAAAACTCGGCAGCAAATTGCCGCTGTTGCTTCGTACTACTACTACTACTGCTACTCTTACGAACTGCGGCGGTAGGGGTTTTTAAAATTGAAATTTAGAGATAGATCAATGACGCCACACACGGCTGCGGCAGCATTTCACTCACGCGCGCCGCCACCGCTGCCATTGAAAAACTTTTTGCGTCACTTTTCATTTATCATCGCTCGCTTATACGCTTATGCTTAGCTCACTTGGCTTTTCTATTTTTTGTCTTCCGGCTCATTTTCGAGACTTTTCTGCGCGAGTCGCGGTAGTTGTAAAGCTTCCTAGTTTATTATTTGCTCCATATAAGTTGGATATACACGGATTCGTTAGTCATCGAACGATCTTAGGTACATACGAGTTTTACCTGCGCGCGAGTCGAGTCGAGCAATTAAACGATCTTGCCACGCACGACTTGCCCCGCGCGCCGAGGTAATAATTCATCGATTTCGGTGGGTCGTCGCGCGGTTTATTTTTATACGCATTTCGACAAAACACGTATATAGCTTGCCTGTATATGATCCGTGCTTCGAGTTCGAGTTGAGTAGGTGACGACGTTTCTCTGCCCGCGCGCGTGTATGCGTGATTTTCGGTGGGTCTGTATTTCAGTTGAATTATTTTCAGTTAAAAAATATATAAAGCGCTTCGTGCGCTCGAGAGTCTTTCTCTCTCTTTCGGAGCTTAAAGCTTTTTCGGTCAATCCCAATTGGACGGCTGTTGCTGCTGTTGCTGCTGCTGCTGCTGCTGCTCTCGGCATCCGCAAATCCGCGCGTACGTGTGCGCGCGTATATTAATACGCCGTTTTGGAGAGTTCAAAACAAAGTTGGTAGCGCGAGGCAGACTCCGACTCTTCTACTACTACTGCTACATACCGTTTTGGCATATAATCACTTTTTTCTCTTTCTCTTTCTTTCTTTCTCGCTCTCCTTTTGTCTCTGTCGAGAGATGCTTTGTTTTTTATTTATATAGTGGGTAATTTTTCCGACGAGCACGCTTCTTTCTCTCTCCGCGGCTACTTTTAGATTTCTATACGCGTGGAATCGACTCTTTAATAATTTGTATATCTATCTGAAAAATTTTTGCTCATCGCTGATTATTATATACGTAATATACGACAGGCCGGACACATCATTACGCGATACGCACGTTCGAAATATTGAATGATCGAACGCCTCTAAGCTCCCTAATCTTTATTGTATCTCGATATCAAGCTTTTTTGCCGCTCGATAAGAGAAATCGGGTAAAAATTCGATCGATCGAGCCGCGTAGTAGTAGAGAGAGAGAGAGAGTAATAAACCGAGAGACAAACGTCATCTCTCGTATATACAATACGTAATAATTATTGTAAAATCGCGTCACGTATATACTGTCTTTAAGCTATGACGCTGCTCTCTCTTAGCCGATCATCCGTAGCCGCTTTTAAATTTAGACGAATATTTTTCTTTGTCCAGTGTGTGTACAGTGCCATTTCTGGGGAGCTCTCTCTCTCTCTCTCTCTCTCTCTCTCTCTTTCTCTCTCATTGTGTACGCGCAGTATTCGAGTGTGCAACGCGGCGTGAAAAAGTGCTTTGTATCAAGTCTACCGAGAGATGAGAAAATAAAGCTTTACCTTTTTTCTGTCCTGTACTAGTAATTACACTCGTGACGATTAAAAAAAAATCTCGGCTTGGCGGTGGATTCACTTCAGGCACTACCGATCGGCATCGCACACTGCACACACACACGCACACAAAAGCACGCGCACGCACGAAAACACAAGAGAAAGATGCACTACTAATGGGTAAATCACTTAATCTATACGTCTATCACTACGACGTATTGCTAAACACACACACTGATTGACTCGTGTAAATAAATACAAAAAAAAGAAAAGTTTGAAGCGCGCACTACTTTTTTGCGCTCGCACCACAGCGACACTCGGCGTCGCGCAATGCAAATGAGCTTGCGTCTACGTTCGTTGGGTTGGGTTGGCCACCCGATCGAGATTGAATCGGATACTGATAGAGATATACGCACACGCACACGAGTCGTCTCTCTCTTGGCTCGGCTGTGGCTTGGCTTGGCTTGGCTGGCAGTCCGTTCGTTATACGTCGTCGTCGTCGTCGAACCACGATTCCGAGAGAGAGAGAGTCAGGTCCCTTTTATTTTTAGCGCGCGACACCTCCACACACACAGCAGCAGTTTTCCAGTGGTCGCTTTCTCGCAAGCACAGCCACAGCCACAGTAGCAGTAGCTCTCGGTTCGACGCGCTCCGGTTTTTATTTTCAATCGCCCGCGCGCTCACTCTTGTTGTTTTTCTTTTCTCGCGCGCTTACGCGACACGCGCTTAGAGAGACGGAGAGACAGAAGCGCTTACACTCTACTCCATATACCTTTTTTATCTCTGCCCTTGCGTTATAACTTGGATGATATATGCTCGGCGAGCGTCCCGAAAAATCAATAATGAGAGTAGCAAAAAGCTCACATGTGTGTGTGTGTGTTGAAACTCGCGGATCGAAATAGATTTATACATTGTATCGCTCGTTTCGAGTCGTCGCGCGCTCGAACCCGCCAAGCTCGTATCATAATACTCGTACGTGATAATGACTTTTTTTTGTGTTACTCTCTCTCTTTCGCAGCTTACCGTCGCGTGCAGCAGGAGGAGTAAGAAAGATAACGTCGGTAAGGTCGAAAAAAGCTCGCGCGGCGCTGCTGCTCACTGTTACTATCCAGCAGTGGGTAAGTCGCTGATCGAGCTTGCGCTCCACGCGCTGCACTCGTTCGCCGCTGCGCTCTCTCCTCCTGCTGCTGTATGGACACTTCTCTAATTCTACTTTATGTGTGTAGCGAGCGCGCGCCTATCGATTCGAACTACGCACCCACACACACACACACGCATACATGAAAGTCGCTACGAACTATATTATATATTGACTAAGCGGTGCCGTGTATACCATATAATGCAACGATGAATTTACATAGCGGCACGTACGTATTTGCAAAATTACCAATTTATACGTGTGGCGCTGCTGCCGCTGCTGCTGGTGCAGGCAGGAGCTCGTCGTCGAATTAGCAACTTTAAGCTCCGAATAACTGATTTATATATTAATACACATATCGTACGTATACGGGTGGTGGAGGGATCATTTCGGCGGCTGATAAAATAAGCAGCGCGCTTTATAATATATAAGTAACGTGACGCGCGCGCTGACTGCCGGAACATTATTTTCGCGATATCGTGTGTGTGAGCTTGCAGCTCTGCTCTCTATATAGAAATGAGCTTTCCCATTTTTGATAAGAGCAAATGTTCGCGCGAGAGAGAGAGAGAGTGGAAAAAAAGACGGGGGAAGTAAGTTTTAAACTGAACTCTCTCTCTCTCTCTCAAGATGAATATCCTTTTATCGTTTTCGAAGCTATAAATCATGGGGCGGCGGGCTGCTGGCCTCTGACCGTTATTTGAGATCATGCCCCTGCGCTGCCGTTGCCGTTGCCGCCACCATCTAAAGCCTGTCACCAAAGTAATACAAAATAACATTCATCATTTCGAGGTAATTTACGAGGGTAGTTTATTTTTTAATACCGTGAGATGATAAAAAAAAAAAAAAAAATAAGGGAACTTTGGTTTATTTCGCGTGTGTGTTCCACCACGGCTATGCGCGCGAGGTGTAAAGAGTGTAAAAAAAGTTTCCGCGCGCATGCAAATAAAGAGCAGCGTCATCCACTCTCGCGAGCTGTTTTGGTCAAGCGCAGTTCGTTTTTTTTCTTCTTCTTCTTCTTCTTTTTCTTCCGCCCGCGCCGTTTTTCCGATTCATAAAATAGTCGCGCTGCTGCTGCTGCCGGCGGCGAGCTGAACTCTCTGCACGCACATGTAGAGAGAAAGAGAGAGATACGAGATGACCATATCCAGCCCTCGGGGGAGAAAGCACATAATCGTAATGCATAAAAAGCTCTCTACTCCCATGCGTGTGCAGATAAGTCGCCAGTCTCGTTACTTTCTCTCGGTCAAGTACACAAATGTCCTTCTTCTTCTTCTTCTTCTTGGCTTTGTCTTTCCACAGTCAACGACTATACGACTTGATACGCGCGAGACAAGCCAGAGAGAGAGAGAGAGAGAGAGAGAAAGAGGAGAGAAAGGGAAAAACTATTCAAGTTCTAGATTAAGTAAGTTCTCGTCGCGGCGGCGGCGGCGGAGATTCTCGCTGCTCGCTGCACACACAGCGAGAAAGTTACCTTTCTCTCACTCTCCGTTGCGCTGAAGCAGCAGTACTACTAGCAGCAGCGGCAGCAGCAGAAGCACAGTCAGTAGTGTACGCCACACTCTGTCTCTCTCTCTCTCTCTCTCTCTCTGGGCGAAATGATAAGATATTTTAGAAGGCACGAGGCGGCACAAACTTAGTTGGCCTCTCTCTCTCTCTCTCTCCGCTTGAAATACGAATTAATTATAATTAATATCTCGTCTCATTTGCAAACTCGCACTTCTTATACTCTGCTCCGCCGTGTCGGCTAGGCTATAAGGCTAGCTGCTACGACGGCTACGGCTACACTTGAAAAGTGCAATTTATACTTTTGCTCTCACTCTCTCACCCTACCTATAAAATATCTTAAAAAGAAGGGAAAGAAAGTACGTACGGATAGACAGCGCTAGATATCTAGCACAGCGCGTGCAGTGGACCATTAATGACGCGTTTAAATTAATGCCTTGAATATATGTAAACTTGTTGATACTGTTATATAATATTTTTACAGAAAAAATGTCGAGCCAATTCGAGTCGGGTAGAGACCTTTAGCCGTACGAGGTCTACTAATTTTAAAGCAGAGCTCGAGCAATTGAATAAAACAATGGGCAACAAAGCGTCACATATATAGCTCGCGCGCACGAGATAGAGAGAGTCGCGTGTAAATAAAATCTCTATCTCCCTCCTGAATTTTAGACCTTTTTCGCCCCGGCCTGCTGCTGCTGCTACAATGAAGTGCTACTACTACTAGCTGCTGCACGCGCGACCACTCAAAACGTCAATTTTTAATTCCACAAACGCCGGTAATCACTTATAACTAATAGCATTCGAAAAGCTCCCCAGTAGCAGGCGGTGCAGCGCACACACATGGTAGTGCACACAGCACAGCACAGCACACACAGTCAATGGCACCAAAGAGAGAGGGTGACGGAAATTGATTAAACACGGCGTTGCAGCAGCAGCACTACGTGTGTGTACCAGAACTATATCATCGGCGTTATATGTAACTCACCGTGTGTGCATGTCCCTCTCTCTCTTTGCTCTTTCAACGTTATATATACTATATACTCTCTCTAGCTATATAGGTCACACACACATACACACACACACATAGACTGCGCACTTTCCAATACCGATTATCGAATTTTTCATCATCCGTTTTAAGGATGTGCTTCGTCGTCGTCGACGCGCCCGTGTGTGCATGTGTATATAGAAAAAAAAATGACAAAAAAAAAAGAGGATTCGACACTATATAAATTACGTTTTGATTGCGCGACACCCGGTCCTCCTTTCCTTTCATTAATCCAATTTTATTATATTATGGTATATATACGGGAAAGAACAGCGCGACGAAGCACATTAATAAAGTATAATAAATATATACACGTACTCACCGGTTTTTTTTTGCGTTGGAGTTGCCGCCCGAGGCGGTTCCTCGGTCCCGTTGGTTCGGGGGGGCCCCCCTCAGTCAATGGGGCCCCGAACCTGTATCCTCTTGAGAGAAACGAAAGTCCGGCGCTGATGTGGGTGTCAGCTGCAGCGAGACCAAAAAAAGAAAGCATAAATAAAACAAAACAAACGTCACAATGAATGAAAATGTCCGAGACACGTGAAACTCGTGGATCTCGTGTGTGTATTTATGTGTGGGCGTGTGTGTGTGTGTGTTAATTAAATCAGAACTCGTGATTTTCGTTGCTCTGCTCTCTGCTGCTGCTCTGCTCCGCGGATCAAGGTTTAAATAACCATTTTTATTCGAAACTAAAGCCAACACGCAACGCGAGAGCCTGGGCCACCCTCATTATGAATAAAGTCGTATATCTCTTCTGTTGTTTTTTTTTTGCCGCTGCTGCTCCTGCTTTGCTTTGCTCTGCTCCTCTGCTTTGCTTTGCTTTAGCTCTCTTTCTGTCTCTCTCTCTCTCTCTCTCTCTCTCTGCACTCGCTGCACTTTAGAAAACTAAACCGCGAAGAAAAACGATTGAAAAAAAGGAAAAATAAAAATAAAAAAAGGAACAGAGAGGAGAGAGAAGAGAAGGAAAAAGCTCAGGAAAACACGCGCGTTTCATTTCCATTGCAATCTTTTTTCTCTCCTTTTGTCTATCCATCTCTCTCTCTCTCTCTTTATTTTTTTTTACGCTTAAGCAATAAAATATTTCATCTCTCTCTCTGGGCGCGCGCGCATTATTGTGAATTTCCGTGTGCTTTTCTACGCTCCCCCAAGCCAGGCCAGTATATTACCCCTCTCAAGACTTACACACAAACATACGTACACACACACCTCGCGCGCGACCTGCAGCTGCAGTGAAAAGAGAGCCTCCGCGCGAGTCTTATATGCTGCTGCGAAAGCGAGTTAATGCGCGCCCGTGTGCATGTGTGTGTGTGTGTGTGTGTGTGTGTGCTAGTCTAGGGCTCATAAGTTTGTGCTCGCTCGCGCGTCGTCACACATTGGAGAAATTATATGAAGTTGCGCGCGAACGAGAAGAGAGTAAAGATTGATGTCTCTCCTCGCTCGCTCGAGCCCCTTCGCAATTCCACGCAGCGCGAGACTCTTTCGTCCTACGCCCTTGTATGCTTTTCCTATATATATGACGATGATGATGATGTATATAGAAATAGGTGCGGATATGGAGGTGCTGCTGCGATGGAAGCAAATCGAATTGCTAGTTAGCGCGTGCAGTATACACACACACATATATACGGTATATAACGGATATGTATACGCTCTCGATATTATGTAGAGGGAAAAAAATTTATTTTATATTATATAC